AAGAGAAAGATGGCCGGAATCATCTGCAGAGCCCAGGGCACCCTAAATGATGCCGGACCTTTCAGAAACGAACATCCATATGAGATATAAAACATAATCAAGATACCCCAGGTAATGGCCCATTGCTGCGCACCGACGACAAGACCTCTTTTATGGGCTGGTGCGAGTTCGGCAACATAAACTGGTACCTGGGCAGAGCAAATTCCAACACAAATACCGTTGATGAATCGGCCCACAATCAGCATGGGGAAGTTTTGTGCCGCACATGAGATGACACTTCCAATGATCCTGTAATACATAAGTAAGGGACGCCAAAGGTCTTCAAGCAGAGAGGAAAGACTAACCAGATCACAGAGCCAATTTGAATCGACGATTTCTTCCAAATGAATCTGTGAGTAGTCCGGACACAAGAGCTCCTATAAAGGAACCTCCAGGCATGGATGCTGTTATACCGCCCTGTATCAATGAACGAGGACCCGAACAGTCAGGAGAATTACTGAATGGGTATCCATGTGGTCCCTGATTGAAGTAGCATTTGTATTGATTCGTTCCTATTCTGAGAAAGTATAAGAGCAGAGCATAAGTAGTACTATCATTGTATTTACAGGATAACTCACATGGCTGACATTGAAGACAGGTCAAAGCCAAACAGTGTTCCGCCTATGACCGAGATGGCTGTGATGATGTAGATGTTGGTTATCATCGTGGTAGTTTCCCCTGCATGGGTCAGTTGGGCGAATGAAGTATTGTTGAAAAGGTAATAATTCGACTTATTCGAGGATGGTTAGTGGCTCTGTTTTATAGATAATATGACGGTGCTAGAAACCCCATCTCTCCATGGACAGAACCTGGAGATAATCTGGGGAAGCTCCACTGATTCTAAATTACCGAGATGAAGCTCAAGTCAGAGAGTGCAATTTGACTTGGGCCATCTTTTGCCATGCTTGGCGGAAACCTTACTTTACTGGCTTGAATTTATTGGTTAGATTTGAAATAAGACCCCTGTCAGGCATCCACCAGGCGGCAGTTGGTATTGGGGGCCGGAACTGTGGGGGGGTCGAGAAGGCTTCAGACGGCTTTAGATGGGGGGGGGGGGGTTCGTTTGTGTCCTTGACGTGATTCGGTCTAGAAAGAGTCGCACCAATGGCACAATCACACGCAAGATAAGATGGAGCTCTGTTAACATTCATGAGATGGGGTAATTAAACAAAAACATAGCAAAGAAAACGAGGTTGTTGTCGACTCAAGTAAACAAAATTGCTTCTAAAAGCCCCAATCCTGTCTATTCAAAATTTCGATTGGACAGTATACGCGACCGCAGCAGCCGTGACCGCCAAAATAAAGGCCCATCGGGTGAGGCCCCGTCGTATATGAAATTTCGCAACTTCCCCTATCGCATCCCCATCGTTGACATGAGGGAACGGCAAATCTTTCGGAATCTCCTTGCCGAGAGCTTCGCAGAGTGGCTCCCAGCCATCGCGCACATCAAAAAACATCAATCGGTCCTCGGGGACGACCTCTTTTAACCAGGAAATATGGCGGAGATAAGTCTGGCGTGTCGGGATGGCTTCACCATAGATTTCCACCCATTGATCGCGTAAAAGCGTGCAGTACGAGATAAAGTGTCGCATGCCAGGAAGAGGGAGAAGAATGGCCTGGATGCACCACATCAAAGTGAATCCCCTCACCTGATCCAGGCTCTTCTCCCATTTAATGGGGTCGCGCACTGTACAAATGACTTTGGCGGTTGGGTACAGTTCCAATAATTCAGGGACGAGTTGGCCGCCAGGACAATCGGTGATGGCAGCGTAGCCATCTAATTCGTGCGCCATGAGCTCCAATGCAGCTGATCGATCGGGTGCCGTTCTAGCCAGCCAATGTTTCAAAATTTTCCCCCAAGCCTTTATTTGAGATGGGGGGGCCCAGGGTGGTTTGTGTCCCCCCATGCCAGATTGGGCCATCTAGCAGGGTTTCCAGGGCCATGGTGAGAGAGGCTGTTCCAGTGCGTGGAAGACCTGCCCCGATGACTTGGAGCTGGGTCCCAGGCCGCGGAAGGGAGGCCTTCTGCCCCATGCTGATGGTACTAGGATGTCGAATGAAACCTGAACCCCAAGGATGCGGTAACGACGTTCCACGGAAGAGGCTCTGACGTCGGTGGTGCTCCCCCTTTAAAAGGAAGACACCGCCTATGACGGAAGTATCAGATTGAATTAGGCTGTTAATGAAATGGTCCCATTGGGTATCCGGATAGGTTATCAATAAACATCAGTTCACGAAGTCCTTGTATGGGACTTGACAAAAATTCAAAAAAAATGATGCTTGAACTTCAAGTTGCTCTAAACATTATTTGTTGGCAATAGCCTCACTCAAACACCACCTGAGAGACCGGTTCAGAGCCATCCCCGGGCCCAAATAGCCTCACCGTGCTCACGTCTTAATTCAGTTCCAGGATTCTACTAATTGTTTAAGGTCAAGTGCCCAGGTGTGGTATCGTTAAAATTCATCTACTCCTAGTATCAATGTTATTTACAGCATCTTTCGTACTATGCATCTAAAAAAAAAAGCTTGAACACGAGAATGTTGGAGATTCATCGATGGGTACCATCTTGGCCATATGTGAAACATAAAATGGATTCAAAATAGTTATCGTATAGCATGATGTATGGTTCAAAAAATGTTCCTTCTCTCACACTCAAGAGGGCAGAGGTATTCCACTTTAACCATGAACTGGGAGTATCCTGGCGTCGAACCCCAGGTTCAGGTCTCATGGTTCCAAAGTGACATAGCTCTATGCAGATGCTGAATATGTAGTCGTAAATGGAAACTGGGTGCAATATCACCCATTGAAGCGCCACGGTGAAAGTTGCGATGCCAGAGAAAGAGGCGGCTCGGCAGATTAGCGGGTGCATGCACAGCATCAAGGCCAGCAGCGCCTGCGCCACTTTCCATGCACGTTGTTGGTTCCAGAAATAATAATATTTCCTGGGCTCACAAGACAATATCACAAGATTTTAATGCCGACTGATCTAGTTGTTCAGTTTGTTGTTGCGGGGTTGCCAGAGATGCTTTATCCAGGGTTGTTCGCCACTTTGTCCAGAGCCACAGCGTGTAGTGCTGGCTTTTCGACGTCGTGAAGTAGACCGTCTTTCCGGCGCTGAAGTTGCCGGTGGACCCAGTCGGCGACCTCTTTATCCTCAGTCATGGATGACGGGGGTTCCTGGCCAGGCTCCGAGGGTGCGGAGGCAGTCGTTGCTTCAGCCTCGGGCGGCGGGCGCATCAGAGGCACAAGCCATGCATGCCGCAGTAACATGTTGTAGGACGGTCGGTTTTTGGGATTCTTATCGAGGCAAGCTTGCACAAATGCATGAGCCTCCTCTGAGTATCCAGATTCGGGGAGGCCAGGCGGATCGCCATGAACGATGGCCTAATTCGAACCAGGTTAGATCTAGATCAAGATGTTAAAAAGTAGGGAAAGACTCACATGAAGCTGACTGAATATGTTGGTGAAGGTTTCCGGTGGGTACGGATAACGTCCCATTGCGCACTCAATAACGGACAGACCCAAACTCCAAATGTCGCTTTGTACACTGTATGTTCCACCGCTGCTCGCTCCCGATTGCTGCATTCCACCGCCGGCGATTCGCTCCGGGGCCATGTAACTTTGACAACCAATGTTTGTCTTTGCAATGCTCGAAACCAAGTTCCCACTGACTCCGAAATCACAGATCTTGATCTGACCCTTGCTATTGATCAAAATGTTCGTGGGCTTGACGTCGCGGTGAATGATGTTGTGTTCGTCTTTGAGCGCCTTCAACCCCATGATTGTCGAGAGGGTGACCTTGCGCAGGATATTCTCGGGAACACCACCTTCATACAACTTGTCGATTGAACCTCCATCCATAAACTCAACACACATGTAGACAGCTCCTTCTTGGAAGAACGCTCCATAAAAATCGATGATAAAAGGCGAGACACAGCGATGCAAAATATCCAATTCCATGATGATTTGGGCGAACTTGCTCTCATCCAGCTCAAGCCGAATTTCCTTCATGGCCATAGTCACACCTGACAGGTTATCATGGCGGACGAGATCTTCATCTTGTCCCGGCGCTCGACTAACGATCCCACCCAGCCCCGTCCCAGGCTTTCGCATTTGCGGGCGACTGTGTCGGACTTTGTAAACCGTACCATAATTACCCTTGCCTAGCTCATCCAACCGATCGACTTCATCAAGGGAGATCTTGAAGCTATGCCCCGAGGAAAACTCCACGCCACCTCCATGCAAGATGGCCTTATTTTTGAAATTCAAGGTTCCAGCCTTGGTATCAATGAACTCGGCGTACTTGGTGAATGCCGATTCTCCTCCGCCTCCGCCGCCGCCGCTGCCATTCTGCTCCGCGGGTTTTGGGTCCGTGCCATTGGCTGGCGGTGGCGGTCCGGTGACATCTGACAGCTTCAGACCAGGTTTCATACGTTTAGCTGCCAAACCGCCGGTCGGACCCGGTCGCGGAGATGCCGGTGTGGAATTGACGGCAGGGATGGAAGGGGAGGAGGACCAATCTTTGATATTGGGGCGTGCGGTCGGCATGCGTCCCGCCAAAGCACCACCCGCGCCAGCCTCCTGGGACGTTGGTATCGTCCCGGTGGAGGCAGTGTGCGGTAGTGTGGTAGGGGCACCTTGTCTGGAAAGAGAGAAAGCTTTCATTTTGGCCATAATATCCTGGTTCAGTCCTCCCACACCTTGTGAGCTCATGGATGGAAGGGGACGTGGCGGGGTACCCGCACCCTGCCGTGCGGCATTGATCTGACCGATATGCGTCGACGAGGCGGAGATACCAGCTGGGGGTTCACTCGATGGGATCAGATTCGGCACTGAGGCAGAGCCGGCTTGCGTGACTGGTGATGCAGGGTCGAGGGGGGGGCGAGTTCCTCATCGGTGAGGGGGGAATCGGCGGGGGAGTCGGCCATAGTGCTGACCGCGCGCGCGCGAAAGGACTACTATGGGGGCCGAGGAATGCAAACCGACGACAAGGGCCGGTGCAATTGGTGTGAAGGTGCCGTCTTGGGGTGTAGACGCACCGCGAGTCGGCGCTAGAGAAGGAAAGTGGTGGTGCTTGGGGAAGGGTCAAGGAGAGGGAAAGGAAAAGAAAGCAAAGGGAGGAGGGGGAGGAAAGGAGGAGGAGGAGGGGGAAGTTGGCAGAAAACGTGCCAGTGCCAGTGCCAGTGAAGGTGAAGTCAGACAGCAACTGTAGGCAGCAGGTACTCCGTACTGCTACTGCTACTACAACCGAGCACTCCGTATATTAAATCACCCTTCCCATCTACATCTACCTTGATTTTTTTTCACTACCTTCCCCCCACCTGCGTCACTGCTGCATTTCTTTCGACTCGTACCTCTTTTTTTTCCCATTTCATTTCATTTCACTCAGTCCTTTTCCCACCTTGGTCTGGTCGCCTTCGCATCCCTAACCGGGCGGTCGTACCGGCCAATCACAGAGAACTCTCGACCCAAAAGCAGGTTTTGACACGGCGGAGTAGCACATTCAATTTACAACATGCCGTGCCCCAGAGATACTCCGGAATATACCGAGAACTCATTCGTCGACGCACGGCAAATTGCGTCTTGAGATCCCCGTTAACTTACAACATGTACGAGCAGCACCAGCTCGACATGGAAATCCCGGTTTCTCTTCCCCCTTGGTGGAACATGGTTGGTACGGGCTCGGATCCATTCAATTCGCTGGATAAGAAAGAACCTTGGGCCTCGACTCGTTGATTCGGGCTACACTCTACTCCACTTTCCACCTGTGGCTTCCGACCCAAGCGAACTTGAACTTGAACCCGTTGGGACATACCAAGACAAGACTCGGCCGGAGATATGCATACCCTCATGCTGTCAACAACTAGGTTGTGGCGTGAGGCCCGCCGAAATGCCACATGTTATACCATAATCCAGCGGATGAGCAGCGTATAGCTTGAGCTAGTCTTTTATGTCTATCTGGCGCGAAGCAAACGCACGGACCTGAGCCTCCTCCCCGCGGGGGGGGGGGGGGATCCTTTCCTCTCCTTGTGACGCTCCATCATCCATCGGTATCGGTACATACTTCGCCATGACATCAATATTCGAGCCTTTGCGGTTGATTGGTGAGGATATCTACTTGCATGAACCGTCAGGCAATGACAGCTCTGGTGGACCAGGAACACTCGCGCCTGCCTTGGTGGTCTTGTGTACCTGGGCTGGGGGTGCGACCCCCCGCCGCATCAACAAGTACCTCGCCCAGTATCGCCAGCTTTATCCATCCTCGGCTCTTCTTTTAATCACAACAAGCATCCCCGATACTGCTTTTCGGCCTTTCAGATGGATCCGACATCGTCTCAAGCCCGCCCGCCGTGCCATCCGCCAGGTCTTGGCGTCGGAGCTCCGGGGTACAGATGACCGACCTGGCATTTTATTCCATTTGTTCTCTCATGGCGGATCTAATATAGGGGTACAGCTATCCCTCGCCATGAGAGAAGAAGCTGATCATGGCATTGCTTTTCTTTCTAGTCTTCGGGGTATAATTCTAGACTGCTCCCCTGGAGATGACGCCTTTGAAAGATCATATCGTGCTGCCCTTCTCTCTGTACCCCAGAACACAATAGCTCAGTTCGTCAGTGGTACATTATTATACCCCTCACTTTCTGTACTCAATGGTTTACAGAATGCTGGGTTCATTCGCGCAGTGCGAGACCTACGTCTCGCATTGAACGATCCAAATACGTTTGGCACAAATGCCAAAAGGTTGTATATTTATTCTAAAGAGGACGTTATGGTGGGTTGGGAAGATGTCCAATCTCACTTTGAAGAGGCCAGCTCCCAGGGGTATACGGCCGATCAAGTTGTTTTCGAATCTGGCTCGCATTGCACGCTCATGGTAGAAGATGCAGATCGATATTGGAAAGCTGTCCAGAGGTTCTGGGAGGGTGGGGACTTGTCTGCTTTGAGTTTCAACCCGGCCCCATCGGGTGCTATATCCACCTCCAGAAACCAATCTCACTCGCGCAGCCGACTCTAAGCGTGGAGATCTAACTGTTTCACTGCATGCTTAATCACGACGTGTCTGTGTCACCGTAAACCATGCCGGTAGATACTTTGCTGGTCAATGACAATATACCACACACATTCGTTAGGGAGCCCTGGAGGACTGAGCGGTAGAAGTACCTATTTTTCGGGTCTGTTTCGATTTTCTTATGTCGAAACCCAGGCGATGCTTGAAAGGATGGACCAGGCTCTTGTATATACATCCTTGATTAAACATGAATTCTGCCTTGAACCAACAATATTTTCAATCCTTTAATTCAAGCTCAAGTAATGCATGGCATACTAGTAGTAGTATGATATTATGATATCACATCAAAGTCGACATCATGATCATGATCATAAAGCAGATTGCTTTTCTTCGGCAGGTTATCCGGTCCCCGGGATAATATTTAGGTCCATACTACTAGTATTCTCAGTCTCCATTTCATTCAAGAGAGCATGAAAATACCCACAGACCTGCAATAATAAGACCATACACAAAAGACTACAGACATGAGACTTTGGATGCTTGCACCCGAGGGCGCTTCAACTATTTGGTTTAGGAAATACCAAGGGCCGTGTGTGTTACACAGGGAATTCTGACGTATCCATCACCATGATTAGGTGCTGCGCAAGGGGCAAATTTGAGTCTTGCGTCATACAACAAGGGAATTACTACTCTGGTACTGATAGGAATTGGAAAATATGCAGAGCCAAGATTGTGGAAGTAGATTGTGCAAAATCACTTAGAAATCCTATTTTCATTCTCGAAAATCAAACTAATGATTTTAACCTGTCGATAGTGGAATATGAACAGAACTTGAATACCGCTGATCTTGCGAGGGTTCAAGTTGGTTCTTGTGTCTTTACTAGTATTTATAGAAACGGAGGCATATGTTTCTAGTAGTATATCTCTTTCTAACGAAATTACTGAATTCAATTTTCCCGAAAACTGGCACTTCTCCTAAATCCTCGTCCTACGGTCGAATCCGCCGTCCTCCCTCACTTTTTCTGTCGACATATGGCATCAATGATATTATGCATTGACCGCGGAGCATCCTCCTTGGCCATATGAATCTCCACCAGACGCAATGGTGTGTACTCTTGACCCTCGAAATTTTTGGCAGGCCCAAACTGGGCGTCTGTGAGCACATCTTCGAGTTCCGCTTCAGTGTGAACACAATATGTCCGCACTGTGTCTGGGTCTGGCTTAAACACGGATGGTAAAAGCTTAAAATCCCAAGGTTGAATATCATTATAGCTCTTGTCCCAGCCATGAATCATGCGTTCGATTGTGTAACCATCGTTACAGATAACGAAAATAATCACTCCGAGTTTGTGACGAACCATAGTACTTACTTCCTGGGCTGTCATCTGGAAGCTTCCATCGCCAGTAAAAAGGATCGTGCGTCGCTTTCGGGAAGGAGTGCTTTCGGCCTCTTGTTCTCTTGCAGCGAAAGCTGCACCTACAGCTGCCCCTAAAGCAAACCCGATGGATGACCATAGGAGTTGGAATAACGATTCTGTTCCACGAGGATGTCTTGTCCACAATGAACCGAACGCCGAAGTTCCGATGTCCAATGAAATGATATCGTCTTCTTCCAGCCAAGAACTGACTCGCTTCCACATTCGATTTTGGGTCACCACTGGACTAGATTTGACCTTTCGCCCAAGGATTGCATCCATTGAATCTCCAATATCAATTCCTGGTTCTGTTTCTGCACTTTCTTCACTCTTTTGAGATGAAGAACCAGATGTTGATGACGTAGAATTGGATCTAGTAGGGCAGAATGATTCGGAAAGCCTCCTCAGAACTCCATTCATATGAAGGCCTGAGAAATCAGCTTTTCTCAGATGAATTGAATCTCGATGAAAACTGATGGTCTCAATATGCGGCAAGTCACTTTTGAATCCAGCCGTGTTGAGATCTGTAGGTCGAGGTCCAATGTGGATAATAAGGTCACTCTCCTGAACTTGCTCCTGAACCCCATCCTCAGAAACACTTCCAGAGTAGATTCCACGAAAGTTTGGAAGGCTCTCATCAATGATCCCTTTGGCCATCGGAAATGAATAGCATGGGATGTTGGACTTCTCCACAAATGCTCTGGTTGGTTGCAAGCCGTGCCACCGCCCAGCCAGGCTGTCAACCAAAATAGCGGGATTCCGGGCCATCGCAATGCGCTCCATGACAGCAGTGACAGCATCATCTTCTTCAGCAATAGGATTCGCCTGGGGGTCTTCGAGGGGAAGGGGCGTTGCGAGAGAAGACGCGTCAACATCAACCATGACAAAATCCATCGGAAGCCCAATGTAAACGGGCTTGCTGGAGCGAACACAAGCTATGATGGTGTCGTCGATCATCTTCGGCGCATCTTTTGCAGAATCTAGCACGGCAACAGCGCCAGAGAGGCGAGCACTCATTTCCATGAACAGGTCATGGTCTCCATCTCCCAGTGTATGGTGCATAGGCAATCGCTTATCTTTCACAGCGGTTGATGGAAATCCGACAATATGTATAACAGGAACAAGCTCAGCACTGGCGCCTGCAAGAGCATTCAAAGCCGACAACTCGCCAACCCCGAACGTGGTGACAATAGCAGATATACCCTTGACTCGGGCATACCCATCAGCGGCATAACCTGCACTTGTCAGATATCGGTCTGATTAGATTTGGGAGAGGCTCCAAACTCACCAGCATTTAACTCATTGGCATTTCCAACCCAGCTGAGACCGCATTTTTTGATAAGATCTAGAGCAACCAGGTTGAAGTCCCCCGGTACACCAAATACGGCCCTAATGTTAAGCTCGTATATACGGCGGAAAAGATACTAAGATTTGGAAAGTTTATCAGTCACCAGGGATGGCACATTGTGTTGAAATGGTAGTTATTACCTCGGCAAGGTGCATGATTGGTCTCTTGTATTGTATCGACTACTCTCAAAGGCTGCGGTGTTTATTTCGTAGTTTGGTGTTTTGTTTGAGTGAGCCCGAGATATGAAATGGGATCGTGTTTGATTAGAATAAAGAAGTTGAGTAAATCCTCACCATATTTATAGTATGTCGTTACATATAAAAGTCGAGCCCTAGGCGAGCAAGATTGCCACTAACTACTAGTAGTGTGGTTGACCAAAATGCACTACATATCTTGTTTGAAACCCCAATTGGAGAATATGGATTGGATAGAAAGTCTGGAAATATTCTCCGTCTATAGTCTAAAGAACCGGTGTGTCTAATTGCCGGTTTTTCAGCAAGATCTGCAACCTGACTGCCGGTCCAATATTCTTGTGCGTACTTACCATTTCCTGATTTGTTGGCACGTGCAGCATTGTTGCTGCCCCAAACTCCTTTGAAGAAATTATGGTGTAAGATATCTGCCTAATAGGGGTACGTACTGAAGGGGTGGGATGTAATGAGTTTGATGACCCATGCTAGTTGGTCACTAGCAACACATCATACGTGGTTGATAGCTCGACTGAGGTTTCACAAAAGCTTGAAAATATTTCTTACAGGGAGCACCGCAGCACACTCCATATGCAAGTCTTATCTGCAGAATCTCGATTCTTTAGTGCGCGTATACTGGAGGCCTTAAAGAATAAAGACTTTAGAAAGAGATTTCTGATTAGCGAATCAATGGAGGTTTACGGATATTCTACTGCGTCAAACGTCCGAATCTAAGGTCTATTTCTTTTAGGGCCATATAAGTTCTATTGCTGATACGACAACGGCCAAACACCATTTATGAATGAATACAAAGAAATATCTGAACTTTCGTTAGCTGGAAGCATGCTAAGTGGTCCTCGAATCGGGCATTCGACGGATGCTACACCGTCGAAGAACACATAGGGCAATTATTCAAACGTTTCACGGAGATGTCATTGATGCAGCTTAGGAAAAAGAAGAATACTTGAGATTGGTGGACAATTATAAAACTGAGGGTTCAAAGTTTTACATCATAGGCCAGGTAATCAATATGCTATCCTATGCGCGAGTTATCAGCCCATGTGCATACAAGCTGACGAACTCGGCAGGGAATCGGCGACCATTCAGTAGACCACTGGGCTAAATATGCTGATATGGTTAGTCCCAAGCTTCTCAGGAGTTACCTCAGTGGTGTAGATTTGGATTATTAGCACTGCGGTCAATGATAAATGAAGAAGGGATTATCCAGACGAGATCAACGGGGTTCAAGTTGTCTATACACATGTGCTGTTTGAGTCCCACAGGTCCCACAATATTCTCCTGTGCTGTACTGCTGGGTAATATACTACAAGAATTTAGGCTCTAGCTTGAAATAAAAAGGCAATTCTCATGCAGGATTATTGAGCAACTCTTTCTTTGCTAAGTTTAACTCTGACCGAGCAGCATTACGGTAGTAATATTTGAATATAAAACCCCTCTCAATCCTGGGTGAGAAGTAAACATACCTTTTCTCATTGCTTTCCAAGGAACGTAGATGCTTTTAAAACAAAAGAAAAGAAAAGTCAAGTTGAAGAAATTAATGAAGGTATCATATCTAAACTTTTTTACCTAAAAAAACCAATCCCGAGCCAACCAATGTCGTTCCTAGACTGAACTCATTGTTTTAATCGGGTTACAGGCCGGCAAATATCTAACTAGACTTAATATAATTTACACCGATTGTTTCGTAGTTCGGAGTAACGGGTTTAAAGGGTTTTAGAATGGGCCAAAGGTATAAAAGACAGCTCCGATTAGCGCTAACCACAAGGGGTAATCGACAATCAAGCTCCCCGCGTCGCAAAACAATCAATTCCGCGCCGAAAGGTTCCCTTGCTTCATCACCATGCCTCACCTGCGCCGACAACCAAACCCTCACGATCTCCTCGCGAATCAAGGCTCCGACGGGCCGGGGAACCTGCGGGCCCAATTCCAGACACCTCCCTCCCGGCACACCCCCTCCAATCCAACTCATCGACACCCACCATCCTCGGGACCGAATGGTCTCACACCAGAACCAGCAGTCGTGATGGCCCCTCCGAGTCACAATCCATTTTCTATTTTCGCGCGTGGAAGACATCAACATCATCATCAAACTCCACCCCAGCCGCCACCCCCAGAAGAAGAAGAAGAGGTAGAGGAGGAGGAAGAACAAGAGCCAGAAGAAGAAGAACAGTTCGAATATTACGACCAAGATGCACAAGATATGGTTGGACAGGACGATGAGTCGAATGTCCTGGAGCCAGATGATGAGCTGGAACCTGAAGAAGATATTGACGAGTCAGAGCTGTATGGCGAGGAGGTCGATGATGGGCTCGAAGAACAACTAGAGGACGAAGATATTGACGAAGAGATGCACGATCGAGGTACGTCGTGCGCTACGTCTACATATGAGAACCCCGCCAAGAATCAACAAGCCAACTAACATCTGGAAAAACAGAAAAATCACCATCTCCATTACCTCCCAACCTTCGCGAGATCTCCTCTCTCGCGTCCTGGACCGTCTCAACCTCCAAACCTGGCTGCGGTGTCTCGGCCCTCCGTCACCCCTCACCAATGCAATACTGGCAATCCGACGGGCCACAGCCACACACACTCACGCTGCACTTCTTCAAGTTGGTCGCCGTCGTACGCATCCGCGTATATCTCGACTTCGAACTAGACGAGAGCTACACGCCTACAAAAATGATATTCTTGGCCGGTATGGGTGGGAACGACCTTGTCGAATTTGCCACTTGGGAAGGAGACGGGCCCTGCGGCTGGGTGAATGTTCCTTTAGAAGGTGTCGGAGGTCGAAATGGGGGTTGGGTTCGCGAGGAGACGGTGCAGCAGAAACGACGTTCGAAGAGTGCGCAGCGACGGACACAGACCTCGGATTCCCAGAAGAACCCCACGGCACAAGAAGATGATAGTGATGCCCGCGATTCGGCAGATGAGGACTCAGCTGGTCAAGACGCAGACCACCAAGGAACCCTCGATGACCCTTACGCGGGCAATGTACTGAAGGCTATGGTTATTCAGATGCGCGTGATGGAAAATCATCAGAATGGAAAGGATACCCATGTACGTGGGTTTCAGGTCTTCGCATGCGATGATACCCGACGGCGCATGGTGGCTGCTCCGTCTGCTTCGGCGGATGGCCGTCATCGTCGACACAGTGCCCGACAATCGCTCAGAGGAGCTGATAGCCTACCACATTCACGTGTGGAAGGCGGAGGTGTCGATCCGAGTAGTCTTATGGCTGCTTCTGGACTTGATGAACCGGATTGGATGGGTGAGCCGGTGATCAGGTAGTTGTTCCATTAACGCCGAGTGTTTGCATAGCGTTGGTATTAGGCGTATGTTTTACGGACTGTGAGGCTTTTCTTTTTTTTTATATTCCCACTTGGCATTTGGAGTTCAAGCGACTTCGAGAGATACCCTCCAAGTGTCGTTACGGGCTGAGCCAGGGATCTATTTTTAAGTAAATGGAATACCCAAATCAAAACTTGTATATGCCAGCTTGTTTGATTAATGGATGTCCGGGATTAAAAATTCCAAAGGGTATTCAATTTTGGCCTTCTACACTAGTCATGTCTCATATAAAAAACCACTCGGCTCACTTAAGCGACGACTTTTACTTGAGGAGCTTCTCAAGCTCAGCAACGACGGCATCACCGACCTCGGCAGTGGTGGCCTTGCCGCCAATATCACCAGTGCGAGTGCCAGCCTCGATGACGTTGCTGACAGCCTTCTCGATAATGCGAGCCTCGGCGAACATGCCGAAGGAGTACTGCATCATCATGGCGACGGAGAGGATGGCAGCAACGGGGTTGACGATGCCCTTTCCGGCAATGTCGGGGGCGGAACCTAATTTGATATTCTGATTAGGAGTGTTTCGATACACAATATCGAAAGGCGTAGGCTTGTGACTTACCGTGGATAGGCTCGTAGATACCGTTGACACGGCTCTTGCCGTCAGGAACACCGCTCAGACTGGCACTGGGCAGGAGACCCAGCGAGCCGGGGATAACACTAGCCTCGTCGCTGATGATATCACCGAAGAGGTTGCTGGTGACAACGATACCGTTGAGCTTGCGGGGGTCCTTGACCATGAGCATGGCAGCGGAGTCGATCAGGTGGTGACCGATCTGGACCTGAGGGAACTCATTGGCCATGATCTCAGTGACGACCTTGCGCCACAGACGGCTAGTAGCCAGAACATTGGCCTTGTCCAGACTCCACACGGGGAGAGGGGGGTTGTGCTGCAGGGCCAGGTTACCGGCCAGGCGGGTGATGCGCTCGATCTCAGCGCGAGAGTAGGGCTCGGTGTCCATGGCGAATCCGGAGCCGTCGTCCTCCTGGCGCTCACCGAAGTAGATACCACCAGTAAGCTCACGGATGATGTTGAAGTCGACACCACGGCAGACCTCGGCCTTCAAAGGGGAGCTCTCGACCAGCGAGGGAGCGGCGAAGTTGCAGGGACGCAGGTTACCGAAGGTGCCCATCTCCTTACGGAGGCGCAGGAGACCCTGCTCCGGACGGACAGCACCAGTGCCCCATTTCTGTTGTTATAATTCCTTGTGAGCCTGCCATCCTATGAATTGTTTTGAGCGCGGAGTGTCGAACGTACCGGTCCGCCAATGGCACCCAGAAGCACAGCGTCGGCGTTCTTAGCAGCCGCAAGGGTATCCTCGGTCAGGGGAGATCCGTTGTCGTCAATGGAGGCCTATTAATCGGGATTAGCTAGGGTCTTTGAGACTGTCCTCAAGGAAGTACTCACACCACCGAACAGCTTGTCCTGCAGGTTGAAGGTGACATCACGGTTCTTCTCGATCACACGGAGGACCTTTATATCAACCGATTGTTAGGGTTTACTCCTCACAACCCAGCTCCAAAATATCAATCTCGCTCACCTTGATGGCCTCGGAGGTAACCTATGATTTCACTTGGCGTTAGCTATGATTCAAACAAGATCCGCGGAACCCGGGGAAGGAGATGGGGGGTTAATATGGCGAAGGAACGTACCTCAGGACCACAGTGGTCACCACCCAAGACAACGATGTTGAAAGAAGACATTATGAAATTGCACAAAAGTAAGAAGAATGAAAATCGGAAGACACTCAATTGGTTCTCAAGGGGGAGCTTTAAAAAAGGTGGGATGCGGGTGAAGTCGACCCCGCCGACTCCGAGATCGGCGCCGAGCAGCCCACTTTAACTGCGCCGCAAAGAAAATTGACGCCGTGCAACGGGGATGTTGTTCGATGGTGCAGAACCGCGTCACTGGTATGTCCTGAATCTCCACCTGAGAGCACTGGCATTCTTCCTACGCGGCTACTAGCGGCTGATTGAGGTCATCGGGTTCTCCGACCTCCCCGTCCCCCGGTATACGCTACTACTAGTAGTTAGTGCATGCTCTGTATACCTATGTTCCTCGGCCGGCAAAAAAAGTGTTGGCATGCATTAAATGATGTATACTCAAAGCGTTAAGAATATCAAACGAGAGGAGAGAAAGATTGAAAGAAGACGGGGTCAAAGGGGAAGACAAGAAGTGAAGCAGGTGTAAATAAGAAGAATGAAAGCGACACAGCTCCGTGTGTACTGTACAAAAGGTTCGTTCCTGAAACCAACCCAACCAAGCCCGTTCCGATAGGGCAGTCCTATTCCGCCCAAAAACGCTCGTCAATAGGATTCGAACCACCAAACCAATCTCTCCACGGGAGTTCCGGCGACAATTTATGACACTGTCAGCCAGCCGGTCCCCAAAATCACAGACCGTAGCTCCAAAGACATGCATGACCCGGACAGGGGCAAAATAAAAGACGAAAGGAAATGATCTCAACCGGTCCTCGGCTAACCGAAAGACCACCTGTGCAACTGTTCATGGCGTAGAATTTATTTCTTGTTGGCACGTCGGGCTGCGATATCTCCCTCCGCGAGCCACTTGCTGGCATTGATCATCTGAATGACGTTGACATACTGCTTGAATGCCATGATCGGCAGCGAGACCAGGGTGATGATCCATGGGAAGGTGCTGTCAACCTTGTTCGCACGAGCCATCTCCAGTGCACCAGCACTCCAGGGGCTTGCAAAGAGACTGCTCAGCGCGGGGTTGGCCGGGGTACCGGGCTGCGCGGAGGAGGGCTGCGCATCTGGGACGGGCTGGAGCAGCGAGGGCGACAGCACAGGCGAGGAGAAGGAAAGGAGGTAAAGACCAATGAAGAACAATTCATTAGCTCCGCAGCAGATGAACAGAACAGTCTGAATTTGAAAAGAAACGGGTTAGCGTAAGCAGGAGGTACCCCTCAAATCATGCGATGTATGCCGTACCTTGCTGTGGTAGTACTGGTAGAGAATCCAGCTTCGCTCGGAATCGATCTTCTTGTGGCTCATGTTCGAGCCGCCCATGCTGAGAGTGGCGTACATGTGCATATAGTGACTGGCCATGTCCAGGCAGATCAGGCTCTGGAAGACGATGGCCCAGCGAGGCCACGCCGAGCTCAGGAACACCAGTAGACAAGCAGTAGTGCAACGATCAGTCACCATGTCCAGCACTGCGCCGAAGGTAGTCGATTGATTGAAGTATCGAGCGGCATAGCCATCCAGCGCATCCAACAAACATGACACGCTGTAAAGAAGAGAGCATGTGCGTGGGTGGAGGGGCATGTAGTAGAGGGAGGCAATGGCGAGAACGATTCGGGAATATCCTGAGAAGAGGCATTAAATCAATAATGGGTTCGATGATTCCCATAGAGCTATGAATGTTCACCTACCGATAAGGTTGGGGGCAAAGAGGAAGATGTTCTCCTTGGGTTCCTCGTTCAGCTTCGAGCTACTGCGCTTCTTCGAGGGCGCCCTCTTAGAGGGCGTAGACACGGTGCCATTGCCGTTTGCTGACTCCTCGCTCTCGTTTCCCTCGGCAGCAAGTGCCGCCTTTTGTCGACGTGTTCGGGCGCTCATTGTGTTGTGGATGATGGGGTGTTGTTGGGTAAGGTTGGGTGATCAAGATGACAACGCAACACGGACCACGGGTTGACTTCAACAACCCGGTTCGAAACGAAGGCTTGATGTGATAAGAATGATAAGGTTGGAAGCGGTAGTCGCAAGCGCAGCTAAAGGGAAATATTGCGGCACTTGGGGAGATAGGGGGGGGGGGAGTTTAAAGGAGTAGGAAAATTCGTCGGGCAATAGATAAGGGAGGGTGATAAGCTGAGGCGCGCCGCGTGTTGGGATGCGGATTCGGATTCGGATTTGGAGTGGATCTGGAAAGGGATTGTAGGTAGAAGAAATAAAAAAAGAGAGCGTGAGAGAAACGGATGTATCCAGGGTAGATGAGGGATCAAGTCCACGACTCGGAACTAGGGGTAGGAAAGGAAAGAAAAGGATGAGGATGACCGAAACCCCTGTTGTGCAAAGAATGTTTACGGGTCGCTCGGAACCTTGGGAAGCTTTCCCCACGCGGCCGAATCCACCGTCCTCTTCCGTGTCCTCTACTCCCGTCCTCCGAGTCAGATCCCGTTATTAGTACTAGTATAATTAAACGAGTCTACTACTCCAAGTGGGGGAAGATTAAAGAGGAAAACTGAAATATTTCAAGGTTTGAAAATAACAATGCCAGTTGAATGATATGATATGTATAAGAATGTGGTATAGAAGAAATTAGTATGTGCAACTGAACTCGTAAAGAGCCCAAAACAACTATATACAGACAGCACCGCTTGAAAGGATATCTAAGATATTTGCAGATTGTCTCACGTCCGTGACCTGCGCGGATCAGTGGCATCCTGACGTCGCCACTCGCGAGACTCCTTCGTCCCCAAGCTTCCCACGCCTCCTTCTTGTCGCCGTTCCCAACCGCCAAGCCGAACAACAAGACAAGTGGCATTGTCTCCTTCCCTAGAGACCTCCGTAGCGAAACCCACCACGTCACGGGCACCTTGCTCGGGGGTCTTGGCCTCTTTGATGATATCCACAATCTCTTGATCCAGGAGTGTGCCGCTGATACCATCCGACATCATGACCAGAAACGAGAATTCAGCGGGGCCCATCTCGATGCGATTGAGCTCTGGCTCCGCGGAGACACCAATACGCTTTGACTGTACATCTCCAAATGCGCGAGTATTTGCGAGTCCACTCATGCGCTCTTCGCCGAAGGAGTCGGTGACAAAGGTCGTAGCATACCGGCGAAGTCGAGCCGCCTCGATAGGCGACGATGGGTGGTGGTTGGAAGAAACCGGTATAGCCTCGCCTGTGTCGGTCGAACACAGCAAGGCTCTTGTGTCACCAACATGGGAGACAAGTAGACTTGACGGGGCAGCGGGATGCCAAAAGGGAGTTGGCGAGGGTGTCGAGATCATGGCAGTAGTTCCTGTACTACCACCCTTGAATCGCGAGCGGCCACCAATCTTGGGACTTCTGGTCAAGCTCGGGCTGTGGAGGATCTCGTCCTCGTTCAAAGGCTTTTCGGCTAGAACAAGATCGTCATCCCGCTTGGCAGCTTGCGCTTTCACAAAATCGAGATCGGCACGCAGAAACGCATACTCTAGGATTTCCTCAATGGAAACTTTCCCATCGGGCGCGGTCTCCGCGTCCACGTCGCTATCGGATCCATAGTAGGAAAACGTTGCGGGCTTGAATCGCTTAAAATAGCCACCAACTAGGCGTCTCCAATTCTGTACAAGACTCTTCTCAAGGTCTCCGATGCGCTTGCGGTTTCCCGCCTGTAAAACTGGCAAGGAATCAACCCCGCCTATCTGCAACTGTTTGTTTCGAAGAATCGAGCTGACTTCAAATTCCGCGGCAGTGTCTTGAATATATTCGTGAAGATTTTCCTTTAGAAATGTACTGCACTCCGACCCGCCATGGCCGTCGAAGATACCAAAGTAGAAGACTTGAGGGTCGCCCGTGGCAGTCTGCGCCCCGCGGGACTCGCGCGGGGGACTCTTAGAGCGTTTTATGGTCAATGATGCTGGAGGGCGTTTCGCAAATGCAGGAACATCAATCACGCCGGCTTGGTATGTATCTTCGTTGGCCGGGCGGGTACCGCGGGCAGTGACGGCACCGTAATGGTGCTTCGCGCTTCGCAGCGGGATTCGGACCACGGTCGTCTCTTCGTCCCACTAGTTGCTGGAACGAGGTCGGGGAGTGCGGGGTTTCGCCGGTATGTGGTATAGATGCTGAACGAGGGAGTTTGTGAAAGGGGGAGGTCGGTCCCCGAGGGTCCGGGTGTAGTGATGATGATGGTAGATAGGTAACGAAGTAGTCGCGGAACTGCGGGCGCTTCTTGAGCGACGGCCGGTCATCGGGAGACGCGGCATCGGAGCTAATCGTTCGACATCTTTGAAGGCGGGTAAATCCTGTTGAATAGCATCTCTGTTAGCTAGCTGTCCACCTAGGCGGAGGCGGCGAGTTCGCTGTATGGATGACTTTTCGAGAGACCCCCGGAGATGGCGGCGCCCCCAGTCAATGTGAAGATTTTACATACTGTAACTGCTGGCCAAGGTCCCGACCCGGCCTGTTACTCGCCTCGCTGATGTGACAATCATGAATGGCCCATTGATCGTGAGAAATTGGGTTGGTGTAGGAGGGATGGGATGTAGCATTCGGGGCGTGGGGGGGGGGACACATTTCGCTGGCCCGAGCTTCGGCAGATAAGGCATCAGCTTCCGGCAGATCCTCTATAGATCTAGCAGGTGCTTCCGCGCAATCAGATGAGATATATCATGCGTTTTTTTATTATTTACTATCGTCTGGTTACTATGTTCTTTATCACGTAGAAATCTATCATGTATTGCAATTTTCATATTGCTAGAGAAGAAGGGGAGGATCTACAGGAAGCCAAAATTGACGGATTTAAAATGAACTGACTTTCCCGTGGCGATGACAGACGGGGGATAAATGATGAATCCTTTCAAACGCCCTCCGGGACCTTCTTTTTGAATTCCAAAGCGTGCTCCTAAAGACAATATCATTCGAGTAGCATGGCTCATCGCAATGGCCGGATGAGAGAAGAACAGAATTAAAGAGAAGAAAAAACACACGAAGTGAATATCGGCACCTACCAGCAGAATCATCCGGAGAGCCTAAAGACAAGACGTCAAGGGAAACTGCATGAGAAAGTGCCAAGTTAGAGTATGTCACAAAACCCACAGTGGTGAGTGGCCATTAGATAGCCTTGGTCCGGGAGAAGAGACTGCTATAAACAGCATCCACGACCGGCTGCGCGGTAATCTGCTTGCCACCAAAGAAACGGCCATTGAGGCCCTTGATGGCGTTCTCTCCGCCTTGAACGCGGTCGAACTTCAGATAAATGTCGCCTTGAGAGTTCGGATCTACCGAGATGTGAACAACATGGCCATATTTTTCTTCGCACTCTTGGCGAACGTCGTCCTCCAATTCCTTCACCCAGGCGTCACCCTCCTCTCTGTGATTATATGTTAATGACTGAAAAGATAAATCAGACACGGGGAGAGAATCAGCTTACTCGGCGGGGTCAAACATGTCACGAAGCATCACGCATCGGCTCGCCATGTTGACATTCACGGGCAATGGTTTCGTCTCGGTCTTGGGTCGAAGTACCTTCTGTTGTTCATCGGCAGAAGGCTCGGGGTCATCTGTACGTGCAAGTTTCCTCATCAACGCGTCCCTACTATAGTTGTTGAAGTTCACACCCGCAACGTCTGTGTCGTCGAGGGCACTGGCGCCGCCAGCCTTCTCGTTTTCTCTGCCACCGGCACGGTCAAAGTTGTTCGAGCCTCCGGCTTGAACGCCGCGTCCGCCATGGCCGGAGAATGAAGAACCCTGGAAATTCGGTTGGCTTGCAGACGTGCTCTGCAATCGGTTCGAGTTCGAATCGGGGGTGAACTTATCGTTGCCAAGGCCAACCCGAATAGCTCGACCAGCAAGATCAAAGCCATTCATCTTTTCCAGGGCATCGCGAGCTTGGTTGGGATCCCGGAACCTACATTGAGGTTAGTGGAATTCGTAATTAAGGACGGCCAATGGGGACTACTTACTGCACAAATGCGTAACCTTTGCTGCGCCCAGTCTCATCCTTCTGCAATTGAACGAATTCGAGTTCGCCAAATGGTTCGAAGACATTCTGGAGATCACTTTCAGTGATGCTGAAATGAACATTACCCACATAGAGTCTATGGAAAGGGGCGGAGTGCGATGGTCCAGAACTGGCATCTGGGTTACGAGCTTGACGGTTCTTCTCCGCCTCGGTCAACTGGGCGATGATAGGAATGCCTAGAAGCTTTTGACCGGTAAGTTGGATCGCAGCGGGCACAGATTCTTCACTCTTGAATTCAACATATCCGACACTAAAAGACAGTTAGCTGGGTACCGGAAATTTTCTAGGTGGAGAGACCAAAACATACCCCTTGGATCGACCGCTAACACGGTCCTTGACGATCTGGGCCTCCTTGACTGGGCCAACCTTCTCGAAAAATGCCATCAGCTCTTTGGTTCTCAAACGAGCGGCGAGTTGTTGCACAAAGATAGTTCGCTTGTCTCGCTCATCCTCGTTGAGCTCTGGGGATTTGCTAGTACCCCGGCGACCAGGGCTAGGGCGGCGACCTTCACGGTCACGGCCACCACCCCGACGTCGTTCTTCATCACGCTCCCGTCGTGAAGGGCGGTAATGACGGTCATCAGGTGAGCGCGAACGGGTGCGAGCGCGTCCTCCGCCACGATAGAAGTCACCACTGGAGCGGTAGTCGTCACCGCCTCGATCCCGGCGAGGGCGGCGTCGATCGCTCTCACGGCTTCTGCTCCTTCTCCGGCTTCTATGGCTTCCGTTAGCACTGCCATGTTCGCTTCGAGGGCTTTTCATGTCCTCATCGCCATCGGCATCTCGGTCCCGGCGACGATCACGGCTGCGGTCTCGGCGTCGGCGTCTGTCACGGGAACGATCACGATCAGGGCGCTCTTGCGTATCGGCCCGAGATCGATCATCGCGGTCGTCTGTCTTAGGGGTTGTATCGGTCGGGGCAGCAGCTGTTGACTCAAGAAGAGCCTCTACGTCGAGTCCGGACATTGTGGAGAGTGTGCCTGTGGCCAAATGCGGTGGAGATTATGGCCGGGGGTAATGAGATAATAGTCACTTGTGACTCGGTCAGATAGCGAAAGCTGGGACGAAAAGGCTTTCTAACCCTTATTCTCAGAATACAAGGCCTGTTCTGTCTGTATGTGTTGCTGATCAACGTCGTAGATGAGGTGTGGGTAGGAGGATCTGTTCCCGGCGCGCGGGAGATCCCAATGTCCATATTCATAATCACGTGATTCAATCTAACTTTTATTCACCGTTGCCACATCCAGCAGGGGCAGCATACATAGTACGTTCAGGTACATTCCAGTATAGATAACACATGTATTGATTGTAGTCTTTTTACTAGTAAAGGTATTGTATTGATTGGTCCATGTTCAATTGAAATAATCTCATAAGCGAGTGTTTTGTTTGTTTTTTAATTATGATTAATAGTTGATGTACACTGATAAGTGATTTGGAGGAAATCTGACTTCCAGTTGGCGGCATAGGCATGCCAACCAAAGTCTCCTATGCATGAAAACCCGTAAAACACATGATCCGGAAACTCCCAAGTTCCAGCATCGAATAATAAAACATGTAGAAATCTCCCGGTAACGTAAGTCAGTCGCCCGAGGTAAGACTCGACGTCAATTCATGAAGAATGAACTAGTGAACCTAGTAATATGGTCAAGCTAGTCGGTTTTTACTGAGCCTTGCTGCCCTTAGCAGCAGGGGCTTCCAATTCAGTACCGAAGACACGATCCCAGAATCGGCTGGTGACACCGAAACCGTTCTCGAAATCAGCGTAATGGTGCTGGAGATGGTACTTCTTCAGTTCCTTGTAGTACAGAGGAAGACTATATAGAGATTAGCATCGAACATAGGACGATTTAGTCGCGATGGGGATTTGAGAGGAAACTCACTTGCGATGGTGGAGGAAGTAGTGAGTCAGATCGTAGCACACGTAACCGAAGACACCGCCACAGTATACCTGTACAGCCGCAAACCAGTTGTAGAAAAAGACAGCATGGGCCAGCTTCCAGAATGGGGCTGCTAGGAGGATAAACAACGTGGGGGGGCATGACCAGCCGGTACTTGTCCATTGGAAGGTAGTGGTGGATACCATGGAGCAGGAAGTGGAGGGTCAGGCCAACGCTGTTGTCGGGAAGCCAACTGAAATATCAAGTTAGCAAGTATTACGGCAGGGGAAATTAAGGGGAATGAAACCTACTTATCGACATGGAAGAGGAAGCGGTGCATCAGATACTCGATCAGAGTCCAGAGGCACACACCTACAATCCAGTAGGCGGTAGCAGCGGAAAAATTACCGAGTCCTGCTGCACCAACCGTTGTACCATAGGCGACCAGCGGCAGCCAGATCATGGGTACAACATACCAAGCGGTCTTGCTGAGGGGCTCCAGGAAGTTGCCAAAGAGGGGCGCAGACTCACCACCCTTGTAGTGGCGGGGTCGGTGAATTTGCTCCAGATAGAACTCTTTAGAGAAGTTGCTGTACCAGAGTTGTGGGAAAAGAGGCTTGCTGAGATCCAAAAACTTGTGCGTCTTGAAGTCCTGGCTGAAATCTGTCTCAACCGACAGATCCTCCTCTTTCGACATGCCGGTAGTACTGTAGACGGGACCAGAGTCCGAAACACCGGCATCCACCGCAGTTGAGGTCGCTTTGCCGGAGGCGCCTACTCCTGAGGAGAGGAAGCCGATCTGGTAGTCTTCGAGGATCTCGTATGCGGCCTCGGAGTGTTCGTGAGAAATTTCATCCTTCATGATCTCCTCCACGTCCTTGCCGGCGTAATCCAGAATCAGATCACCACCGCCGGGGTGGTCTTGAACGAAGTCAGTGACATCGTAAACGTTTCGGCCGATCGCGATATAGCAGGATTTGGCGTTGTTATGCGATGCGACCTCCGCGGCCGTGAAGGCCGGTAGAACTCGGCCGGGCATTTTTTTTTTCTGCTTCTTCTTCTTCTTTCTTGTTTGTTGTCGAGAGCGAACAATCACTAGCGACCGGAGATGGGGCGGGGATGCGCGTAGGAAGAAAAGTCGCGAAAGAGAATCGAAAAGGATGTGAGCGGCGGTGGATGGTGGATGCGGCGTTGAGGGATCGAGAAGTTGATCGTTGATCGCGGAGGGCGGCGGAACCTTGGGAATAAATCACTAGTATTATTAATTATTCAGGGGAGGGCGTGGCGTGACATGTGAAGTTTCCGCCCCGGAAACAAGCACAACAATTGGACAGAGTATATCGTATGGCTTCGGGAGACTGCGAAACCTTGCTGGATTGATTGCTTGGGTCGTAAGATTGAAGATCAGGCCACCGATCCTTTGAAGAGTCACTGGAGAGTAAAAGGACGTAGTTACCAGCATGCATACTTCCTCGGAAGCAGGTGACTGTGAATGTGGCTGTGACTGTACGGACTCGGAGTTACGGAGTTACGGAGTCACAAAGTCAAGGAAATCAATCCACTCTTGGCAGATCCTGTACTCTCCGGGTTACTAGTAGTACTTTGTACTTTACTTTGTACTTTTGTACTATAACCAATACTATATTAGTACTAGCAACTCTCTTTAGCCCTCGACTGCACCTAGAATATCAATCTAAAAAGGCATTCCATACTATGTGTACCCCGTATTGTCTCCCAGTACTGTTAGTACTGTACTGTACTGTATCCCTGGGGTGTGGCTGGCTACTGGCAGCCATCAGAGTACACCTACCCCAGCCTACGAAGTATATAACATTGGGAATTCCTCTGGCCATGAAACCTGGAAGGCACCTGAATTGTTTCATGACATTTCCCCCTTTGTTGGATTCTTACTCTGCGGCCCCAGATGATGCGGGACGCCAACACACAACAGGTGGGCACTCTTCAACTTCATTGGACCTATCGGGTCCAATAGAGAATATCTTTTCTCCCATTCGATGAGATTTCCAACCCAACGGCCCAATGTTTATTGGTGCTCAAGAAGGGACAAATGATCAAGCACTAGCCCTCCTGAAAGAAAAAGCGAAAGAACAACAGGAGTCCTACTTTTGTGGTCGAGTCTCCACCAGGCAGAAATGCACGCATCATATTGGGACACTCTCCGTTCGCGGCAATCCCTCAAGCGACGTCGAGAAAACAAGACATTTTTCCCTCTTGGCTTTCTCCTGAAAATTGTCAGGCATTTGCATCACGCTAGTTCATCTCTAGTGCACACACCCGCCCCGCTGGGGCTCCCGACACTTTGAGCACAAGTCGACTGCACATGTTTTCTCCATTTTCCCCTACGCCTTACAGGATTCCTCTTCACATCCCACGATGTCGACTGTGGATGATGCACCAATCAATCCGATTCTGGATTATATCCAGAAGCTGACCGAGGCCAAGAAGGGTCTACCCTTCGGGCAACCAGTGGCCGTCTTGACTTCCCACACCGTCACCGACTCTGCAACTTTATTCCGCTTGGTCTCCGAAATTGGCCCTCACATCGCCGTTCTCAAAGTTCAAGCGGATGTGATCGACGATTGGTCCGACGAGGTCATTGATCAATTGATATACGCTGCTAAGAAACATGGATTTATCCTCTGGGAAGGCAGCCGTATCCTGAATTCTACCGTCAATCTCATGGGCCGCGGGCGGGCCAACTTAGCAACACGGAAGACTATCGCGGACCTAGCCAAAGGGAGATATGTAAACGGAATCTACAAGCCCGCAAGCTGGGCTAACTTGGCGACTGCATGGGCTCCTGGAGTTGCATTGGACGAGCAGGAACAGGACGTCTTGCTCCCAACCCTGCGGAAGGCAGCTCGGGAAGCTGTCGCGACCACCGTCAAGACCATTGAAACCGAAATTTCGGTCGCTGAGAGCCGCGACTCTCTCGAACAAGAGCAGGCCCCCACATTTTCGCCAAAGGAAAATGGCTGGCATGAGTTCGCCACAGATCTGGGCTGCGCACTGAGGAAGTCATCGACCATTTCCGTTACTGAAAGTGTCACCCAGCAACCTCATGTTGAGACGGATGACGGTCTCCCAGCTCCACCAATTTTAAATCGAGGCATGGCAATCTGTCTTCCAAGTGATGTCGACATGGTATTCACATTGGAATTCCGACAGGGCACAATAGCGGCTGCTTGTGCCAACCAAGATTTTGTGGCGGGTTTGGTGACAAGCGAACCATTATTCTGCGACTATCATGGAAACAATTTGATTGATTTAGCCATCCCGGAGGGAGGCGAGATGTCGGACGAGATGGCGCGCAATCTCCAGGCTTACTCGCCATACTTGGAGCGAAACCATTCCATTGGTTTGTTCTCACTGGTACCTCCTGAATATGCATATGCATTTGATACGGATCTCGTGCATGCCATTCAAGCCGAGTCCTCCCCTGAAAGACAGCCTCACAGTGTCGCCAAATTGGAATATATTGTCGGCAGGGCATTGAAACGACGTGATGCGAATCGCAAAGAAAACGAAGTCAATCAAAAACCCACAAATATCCCCAAGGGCCCCACTGTCCTTCAGTGTCCCGTCGTCATACTGCCTTGATTGTGAAGACCGCTCTGCGGGCTTCCAAGGTTGCCTTTTCTCAAACATCAAATACCTCCTTACCCCCTACTTGACACGTTATTAAGTGAAAACTTGCATATAAACACATTTCATGTCAAATAGAGATTTTGAAGAGCACAAAGGCCGTCTATGTACAAGTCCACTCCTCAACAACCCGAAGTTCTTCGCCAAAGATCGACGGTCGTACCTATAAAAGCCAATAATATTTCACCTTACGTCAAGTAATCTAGCCTAGTCTTCATCAACTTTTCCATCATGGTTCTTTTCCATGGAACGTCGAGTTATGATCGAATAACGTATTTCACTACCGAGTGGCGCACACGGGCGGGCGGCGCACCCCAATACACATAGTAAATGCGATAAATTACAACTTCATATCTCACCGAAAACAAAATATTTTAGAGTCTTGTTAATGATAAATGCTCCAAGGCAGAAAAATAAATTGCTAACAAGGTTAATAAATAAATAGACGTTATGAAATTTGGAGATATATATCCTCGTTGAACTGAATACGTATTTTTTGGTAACCCGATGTATTAGTTATTAGATGAGCTTTAAACTAAAATATTTTAATTATACCACTAAGCGGCACCTATAAACCAAAAATCAAACAGGAATTATATATGGTGGTTGAGAGATGAAGTTGTAATTTATCGCATTTACTATGTGTTTTGGGGTGCGCTGCTCGCCCGTGTGCGCCACTCGGTAGTGAAATACGTTAGATCTCGGAACGCCACGAGGCCTGAAAATGAAGGCCAAAACCGGGCAACCCACCGCCTTCCAAATTAGTCGACATCCATCAAGAAGCGCTTAGTCATAAATATCGAGGACCGACTGTGAGCAACTTCAAGTTGAACTTTACAACCCTTTCTCATGTTTATATTATTTTCCCTGCTTGTTTCAGCGACAATCGCCTGTCATTTATCCTGACATGCTGAATCCTTCTGCTGGGATTTATTTTGCACCGGAGTTGCCCTCAACCATCACAACAAACTCTTAAGGCTGCCTGCATTTTCTTTTGGAGGCTGATCAACTAAATAAAATATCTCGGGGACTAGTCTAAGAAGCGAGAAGCTCGGAGGCGGCAGAAGAAGACACTATATATTCATTCATTCTATCCCTGCTGAAGCACGGGCGTCCTCCCTCTACATGTGCATGCAATCAAGGGCATTTTTCTTAACCGCGGGGTTTGGAATAAACAAATTCATTTTCCAACAGCATGCCTTCTGATTACCCACCTCTGCCGACCCTAAAGGAAGGGAGACTCGAGGGCGGGAATGTTGGAAATGAAAGAATATCAGTGCCAAAAGCTCTTCCAACACGGCAACGTTTACGTGCCAAAGATGCCATCCTTGTTCCGAGAGCACATCGACAGCACCAAATGTGATTTCGCCCAATGGCGATATCATTCTTGAATATGCTGTGATGTCATCTGAAAAAAAGCACTACTGGCAGGTTTCGAGTGAGCAACTCATGACTGGGAGTCCTTACTTCGGAGCGATGTTGGACTCTGAAAAGTTCCTGGAGGGTAGATTACTTGCGCAGCAGAGGCAAGCCCTGATAGACGGCGCGGCAGATAGCTCTTCGAGAATTTTAAGCGTCTCATCACTCGCCAAGTTGCCTATTGTGGAGATCCCTTGCAGCGCGAAGTCCGAACTATGCGGTGTTGAGGCGATCCAGCTGTTCCTCAAGATTCTGTGCCTAGATTCCTCGGACACAGAGGCACAAGATGTCTTCTACGATGGCTTGACAGCACAATCATCTTCCATTGTTGCCAAGCTGATTGACATTTCTGAGTGGTTCAATTCTACAAGTCCTATTCAAAAGGCTCTACAGACAGCTCAGTACAGAGGCGGCGGCAAGTCGAAACCTGGAGTCAGCATGAAAGTTTTCACATTGGATATGTTGAAGTTAAAGGAAAGACGCATCCGAGAGATGATCTTTATTTCGGCATCTATTGGTTTAAATGATATCCTAAAAGCAATGACGCATACTCTGGTTCTAGTAGGCTCAAGATACTGGCAGCAAGGACCAGAAAGGCCGATGACAGATGGTTATTTGAGTTGGAAATACCTTCCCAATGGCCTTGAAGGTATGTTGTATTCCTACTCTAGTTGGCCAAGGAGCGGCTCACTAACACAGTAATACCCCAGAGGAAATATACCACAGGCGACAGTGTGTTATGAACACATTAACTGATCTACAGGCTCACTTTCTTCGTGCTTATGGTGGACTTGAAAGAGATGAGTCAAATGCTAAGCCAAATACGCCGGGTGTGGCATTTTCTTCGAGTATTCGAAACCCCGAACTGCAGTGCCGGAATGGACTCGACAATGGCGCGCAGTGTGACATCTTTCACCTCGGTCAAATGACACGCTTTTTTGCACTACGCACGAAGACTATATTTTTGGGATCCACGCTTGTCGATCCCAACTTTAACAACGAGGATTCTGGCGAGGAATCACCCGATCAATATAATGGCCCCGATGAACATGGTGACTCCGAAGAGCCCCAGTTTGCCATAAACCAGGTCATAGCCGGAATCAAACAATACCCCGACTATCAAATTGACACCAACCATGTCGGTTGTGGTATTCGGCGTCGGATATTGCCGATTTTGGACGGCATCGAGAAGTTCATCGCCGATAGTCGGGGTCTACTAGGAATTCAAGCAAGCTTGTGGGAGCTACCAGAAACTCGGATGGTGAGTGCATGGTCTGGAAAAGGGGGACCAAAGGACCACACGGTTGAGATTCGCTTTGCAAAGATCACCAAGATCGACATACCATCCTATGGTCCATTGAAACACTTCACCTCCCCCGAAGACCAAGCACGCTTTATGTTTACTGCGGCGAAATATAAGTGGGAAGCATAGTCTATAACCAGACGCATTATGTTATGCAACCTTGCGGGCCTCTCAGCAGCTTCAATCTCAAGATGTTTGATGCCACGTCATAATAACTACGATTTGCTATGACGAAAGTATTCAAAAAGTAAGACCGGTCTGGACCTGGACCCTGGAATCCTTTAAGGCTTAGTTCCGAACAGCTAGCCCGATGGAGATGGAATCCAGGGTACCGTATTTATGGGACGATAGTAGCCAACAGAGATACCCAACACCTGGGACGCGAAATAGTATGCATATCGAGTGCAGGGGAGGGGTAGGATAGGGCTTGGACTGCAGCTTTATGATATATTGGGCTGTGTAAGTAGAATTGGAACTAGACGGGGGCCACGGAGGTCATTAGAAGCAGAGAGCGAATTGCGAGCAATAGGAAATCGGCTACTTGTTAAGGATTGGAATAATACTAGTAGTACAAACGGCATTTATCCAGATATCGATGTAGAGTTCTCTCTACCTTGAATTTCTATGGTGTTGTATGGTTTATAATTTGATCGGCCAAACAATCAATCTCAAACAAACAAACCAAGCACATGGGCTGACAGTCTGATACTCCTCTGCCTGACTTGACATCAAAAACATCCCTTCTCAGACATCTATTATTTATTCAAATGGTACTTTTGTGTCCAATAACCACGGGAGCCTCTCAACATATAGGATCTCCCCAGAAGTAGCCCAAGTCAAGATCTAGATTTGGTCCTGTTGGTGGGAAAAAGGAGCCGGTAATCTGGCCAGTCGCTGGGTCATAAGGGAAGTAGTCATCGTAAGAGCTTCGACTGGAGCTTGACTTATCAGGCTTAATGAACGGATCCATTAGGTCCGGTGGCTCTATTTTGTAAGGCGCCGACATCCCGGGTGTGGTGCCCGAATGATCCATCGGCGAGCAAGCGATAGAGTCCATATCTGCAGCGATACTGTCGATTGCATTTGTTGAAGGCAGTACAGTAGACGGATTAAACGAAAGGTTATCCATAGCCGAATCATCCGCGACAAGTGCGGCCGTGTCGAGCTCTGGGGCATCGAGAAGGGAGGATGAAGATGAATCCTCATTTTCAGATAGATCAGAGATACTGATACCGAACTGAGGTGCAAGGCGGCGTAAAAATCCATCGCAGAGTCTCCATGCACGCTCACATGCGGCATTTGTCATAGACAAGGTGTATAGCCAGTCAAGTGCTTTCTTGGCTGCTTTGGAGACCATCGCTGCCTTTTCGGGAACATGTTGGGCTTGGAATGCAAGCTCCAATAATAGGACAGTCGTGGATTGCATGAGGTAGTGAAGTGTACACCACCACGGGGATATCCGATGCAGGAGCGCGGCATCTGGAGAATCCGGGAACAATGTCAACATGTGGCATGCTGACTCGACACACTCCGCGGCCGTCTTGCTGCAGAACTCATAGGTTCGATCGCCATCTGAATGTGAGCTATCAAGTCGACACAGACATGGGCGTGTCATGCCAATCTTTGTGCTGTAGAAGAGAAAAGCAAGTCCCATTCGCTGTCCTAGAGGGCATTGCGAAGTCTGCGTAGAAGTAAAGTCGTAGGATGGTGGAAGGTTCATGAACCAAGAGTCAATATCAAGCATCAAGCTTTGGATGACAAACTCGGTACTTGCCCACGGGGCTTGCAATGCCTCTGGGCTGTAAAGCTTGACGGTCATTCTTTTGGCAATAGTTGTAAGCGATGTCAACTGCAAGAAGTATAGTGACATGCATGGTGCAAGACTCTTCAAGTATTCAGCTCGACTCATTTTTGTATCAGAATCAATGCCTTCATCCGTTGTGTCTGAATCAGCAGCCGAATCGAGTCTGGCTGCGCTATTGTTCAAGGTCATCTGCTCCAGGGGGCTGAAGGTACTTCGTCCGGCGGTACTGATTAAAAGAGATACTTCGTCTTTCTGAAAGTCGCTTTCATCAAACGGCACGGGAAGGGGTGTAGTGCAAGAACTGTCGACGATGCAGGATGGTCGACCAGTCATGACAGTCAGAAGATGCTCAACCGTATACAATGACCACCAGACACGGTATCTGATCTCTTTCGAGGTATTCGAAGTACAGGATCCGACATTGCGAAGGTGGAGACCAAGAGCCAATGCACCTCGGACCGCACTGCCAGAAAGTTTCCAAGCCCTATTGAAAGTCGTCATATCAGTAACTGATCCAGAAGAATATTGATGCCTCAAGAGCTCACATACCTATTGATATGGCCGGAAGAGATCATATAGAAGCAGGTAAGTCCTTCGACCTGCAGTTGCTGGAGATCGGGATGATGTAACAACTGATCTTCCAGGCTAAGCATCCTGGCTCGTGAAAAGTAAACCTGGTGGTTATCCTCTTCGTCATTCAAGCCTGCGCTGGTCAAATGTTCGTATTTTGCAGCTATTGCAAAAATAAGATTGAGTATGGCTAGCCATTTACTCCCAGGCTTTAAAGATGGCTGGCTGAAGTATGCCTGAAACTGGGAGACAAATGTGGAAATCCCGATGATTGGAAAAGATGGATGAATTGAGGCCAGATAGGAGTTTAACAGCTTCGTTGCCGTTTCTTTCGGGGGCACGACACTGGAATCGACTTTATCTGCATTGGGAATTTCCAAATCGTCAAGGTAGTAATTCAAGGACGCAACCAGTGAATCACTCGTATTTTCGGGGCGTGGAGTCATCGTAGGAGATGGTAAAGCATTCTCGTCATCTGCGTTCTCGTTGTTGCACGGCCACTCCTCGTTCTCGTTGTTGACTTCTTTGCTAAGCCTTTGCAGCCAAGTGATCTCAGAGCTTTTCCCCATAAATCCAGTCGAGCGAGCTACTTCATCTCTATTGAAGTCCTCTTTTGTATGGTCGACAAGATCGAGAGGTGTATCTGAGGAGGGGTGTGAAGGAGATGGTTCAGAATTCAACGTCCTTTTCTCCGGTAGCATTGGCATCGCCGTCCAATGCTAACTCAGGAGCGGAGTCCTATTCTAACTCAGAGATGATTTCTTTTAGTGGAGATGAGTCGGGTTCCATACCACTGCCAGGGCGATGTTCACGAGTTGTTCGTCGGAGACACCAAATCGATTGCTCAGCTTGCTGATGACATCTTCGTACGCCTGTACCTTTGCGGACAGGCTTGCTAGTTGACTTTCAATTTTCAATTTTCAGTCAATATTTGCATCAGTTGTATATATAACAAGAGCAATGGCCTCACCGTTTCGATTTCTCTCTTTTACCATCAGTATAGCAGCAGATAATACCTGCCTCTCGGCAATTCCGGCACCCCGACTTGTCTCCAGTACACTTTGTCTTTCTCTGTCGACAGGATTCGCATGCTCGGCGTACGTGACGGCGATGAAATCTTCCGGGAGACGTGAATGCAGACTCGGCACCTTCAGCAAGACGTGGAATAGCCATTTTCTTGGTACCTAGTTCAGACTCAGTCCTCTGAAGAGATGGCATAGAGTTATCCTGAAAGATATAGTATATTAGATGAACCATGTATAATTCAAGTTTGTATGATGAGACCTCATGCATACCACACTGGATAACAGACTGCATGTTTCTGCATCAGCACATGACAACTTGAACAAGCTTTGCTGCTCAGTCCACGATGGAAAGTGGATATTGCTCATGGCGAGATTTGTATAATAGTTTCCTTTCTTGAATGAGTCTTCGATTGGGTCGATAAGAATTAGTGAACATTTATCAGAAGTCATGAGCAATTTGTGTAAATGTTTGAATTACCTTCAGTGCTCTATGGTGATTTGTTCAAACCTGATGCGTCGATCATCAGTGTTTAACAAAACCAAGATGGAATGAGACGAAAGGGAGGCATCGGAGGTTTATGGGCATTTAAGAACTTGACCTATGAAAAAGGTGGAATATTGCGTGCGAAGAAACCAGTAACCAGCAACCAGCAACTCAATATACAAAATATTTGGGTCATCACACGCATGGTAACCTAAATTACTGTCCGGCAGATATCCGGCAATGACGATGCACCGAAAGAAAGGTGACAAGCCCGTGGGAAAATGGCCACCAAGATGAAGTTCAGGCCCAGTCCCTCTACAAAATAGATTCGCCTCTTGGAGCTCCAGAGGCTGTTGAGGCAAATTTGGAATCTTTCGGTGAGGGAATTTCCTCTTCTACACCTCTGATTGAATGCTTCGATTTGCCATCAACCACATATCGACGGCGCTGCTTTAGATTCCGCTTGGTCACACCCAAACGATTGCCATACCCATAAATAAAAGCCCCAAGATATATCAGATCCTTTTCGCGGCTGCTGCTTCGGCTGTACGAACCGATAGGTTACAGGCCCCGATAAACGCCTAGGTAAGCGGGATTGTTCATTCTGGGGAGACCGAGGGCTGGGAATCGGACTCTCCGATGCCAGCAGTACCCCAAACCGGATGAAACTCAATCTGTCGAGACCGGTAAACCGTTGTGATAATGTACCCCATATCCAAAGCTAGACAATGGGCATAATGGCCCAGGCCTGGGTTGCAATGTAAACATGACGCTAGGAAGTGGTGGCGCATAATAAGCGGCTGTCCCTGGTTGCTTTGAAGAGCCAAAGGGTTGACATCCATGGATGGGAAGTGAGGTACGAAAAGCTTGACGGAACTTACAAGCCAGGCTTGTTAATGCCGGCGCTACTGCGACTCTTCTGACCGCTTACATACTGAAGTCACGTCTGAAGTCTATAATTCTGACGTCGTGACCAAGGGCAGACATATTACGCGCAGATGATTAGAATGGGCATCACAGCCGGCATTCACTTTTGTTGGCAGACATTGTGAGAGGGTAGTTGAATTACCAGGCAAAGGTGCATTAAGTCATGGTAAGGTCTAGTCATTTTGTGTCAATTTTGAGTAAAGTTAGAGACACGGTCCTGGAAAAGGATGTGAAAAGGCAATCAGATAACAAGGGGCTTAGAACACGGTCTTGAAAGTAAAGGTACCAGGGGAGAAAAGGGCCACTGTCCGAACATCATTAAGTAACAAACTCTATACAATCCGACTCTTGGATCACTGAATAAGGAAGTTCTCCGCAACGCTGCGAACATCCTTGGAGTAGGCAGTGCTTTCCCCTTCCATCTCCAAGAGAGCGACATCCAGGACGTCCACATCTACGAAAGGCTGGGACTTGGTAAAGCGGACGCTCATGGGGAAGAAGACGTCTTCATCGGCATCGGTAGATTCGAATTCGAAACTGCCGGAGGGGTTCGCTTCGTCAACCGCACCAAGGTTCCAGTCAAGGCTATCACCCGAGACTTCGTAGACAGCATCGAAGCTAGAAACAGCAGGCTCGGTTTCACCGTAAGGAATTGTGACAACAACATCTTGTAGACTGTCCGAGCCGGTAAGCTCGTATTCAACCGTCACGGTGGTAGAGTCAGAGCCCTTGTTCACCCATACTGTGAAAGTAATGGGGAGAACTTCGGCGTTATCAGCCGAGCTAGCAACGCGCCATCGCAGAACACCAATTGCATTGTTTGCGGGAAATCTTTTAGAAGTGTCCTTCAGTTGAATGGTGGAAGAGCTAGTGAAAAGGGCCTTGTCGACATTGGGGTGGGTCCGGAACTGGGCGCCATGAGTCGGGTTGGCTTTAAGATCAAGACGGAGCTTTGTGAAGGATGGGTCGGTGATGCGGAGTTGAAGGTCACCCTTGACTTCGAATGACTTCAAGGCACCTTCTCGGGTGAGCGTGGCGGAAATGGTCTCGGCGATGGTAATATTGACTGGCTCTCGGTCCACGGCGAGAGATTCGCGAGCGGAGGGGACTTCTGGCACGGGCGTCGAAACCTCTGAGCCCACCAGTGGGCTGGATTCCTCGACTTCAGGGCCCAGATCACCTCGGACCTTCTCGTAGATATCAGTTGCCTTGGATTTCTTGCCCAACTGCATACCCTTGCCGCGAGACGGGAGAGGCCTAATAAATTCGCATGTTAGAAACCGTACATATCACAACAGCCAAAGCTACATCCAGGGTTGACATACTTGGCAAATGTCTTCTTCTTCTCTGCCTCGTAGGAATCGTATGTGTCGGGCACGGCGGGGCGTGTGGGAGGTGTGTAGACGGGGTAGTTTGGCGCCCTTGGGGCAGCGGCGCGACCTGTGCGAGCAGCCTCTTTGCGCTGCATTTCCAATTGCTTGGCCTTCCTCTTGCGCTCCTCGCTAGCCTCCAACTCTTTGTTCTGTCGAGACAGGTTAGCACTGACGTAGCCCCGCAGTCTGTCTCAAGACATACCCGCTCGATGATCTCCTGGATTCTCTCCTCGTGACTCTCCATTTCGAGGAATGTCTTGATCTGAGAGAGCGAAAGGTTCTCCCGATAGCCCTGTGTCACTAATTCATCGAATGCGCTCAGCAGCTCGAAGGCATTGCGCAGAATCTCCCGCTCGTCCAGACTCTTGCAAATGCTAGTGGTCACTTGAGCAAACAGGTGAAGACTGTCGATATCTTGTAGGATGTTCGATTGACGGTTGGTGATCAAGACGATGTACAGCTCGTCCAATGGCTGGTAGACGAATCGGACATTGTCCTGCTCCACGGTGGTGTGCTGGGTCCCCGAATCCGCAAGCTTGGGGAAAGAAGCCAGAAGGGCTTCAATGCGCGAGCGGGAGATCTCGCGGAATTGGCGCGAGAGGACCGCTTTGCCTCCGCGAGTGCATATCGATGCTGCGAGAACGACCTGTTGTGGGAAGGCGAGTATTAGTATGGGTTCCCACGAATAGCGTGTCGTGTCAAGGAGGGAGCGTCGATCCTACCATTGCGAAAGAAAGTAGATATTCAAAGAACAGTGATGTGAGCGAGTATCAAGGGTGCGGTTGTGCCAGCTGTCTCTTTCTCTGTGGAATAAAGCGCAGCCTTGATGAAGAGAACCCCTTGGTGATGTTGACGGACGAGTTGCGGGCAGCTACGCTACTCTGTTCTCTTCGGCTTGGCCCGTGCGCCTCCCTTTTTCGCTTAGTCCGGCTTTGGGAGAAGACCGGGCCAATCTTTTCTTTCTTCACTTCACTTCACTCACCACACCTCGACATCCCACTTCACCCCCCAAAGGATTTCACCGTGATCTTGCCTTCTGGATACTTGAACTATTTAAATGTGAACAGTTCGGTGATCACTTCCTCCCCGTTCCATTTACTCCTCCCATCCATTATCTCCTGAAACGCCACCCCTCGTAAACCTTACACGTCCCTTGACATCCACTTTCGACGCGTCTTCATGCTATGACGGCAGCTCCAGCCCTATCTTTTCAAGCCATGGAGGTCCCCGCCCTTGAGGACTCGATGGAAATGGCCTCACCCTACCAGGGTCAGGCCGATGACTTCGATATCGATATCGATCTGATGGAAGATCATCCCTCCAACATCGACAGTGACATGGTGGGCGCTGATGATTTTCCGAACACATCCCAACCTTCTCTTTTCAACGATGTGAACAATGATGCCGACATGGCCGATGAGGATCCTTCTGAAGGGTCGATGGTCGACGCTGACAACTTCGTCGACGAAGACCACGACATCGAAGTCCAGGACGACGATGTTACCTACGAAGCAGATATGCTTGAGGGTGATCAGGACGAAGAGATTGTTGAAGCTGTTCCGACTATTCAGATCGAAGATGCGGCCAGTAGTAGTGATGTGACCCACCAAACCGACCAAAATATCACCGAGCAAACCGAGAGTATTATCGGATTGACCCCACAAGCTCAAGAGCTACAACCCCCGCCGGCTACCCCCACAAATGAGGCAGAAGGCCTACAACATGAGCAAGAGCCTCAGCCTGAGCTCACGCTCGACCAGCCGGAGCAGCACGACCACGGGATCTCTTTGGAGCCAAAGCCAGCCGAACAGGATCAGGCCGACAAGCCCAATGAACCCCAAGGTTCTGTTGCTGCTGCTGCTGCTGCTAGTGATGATATCGATCAGGAAAGCCTAGATGAAGGAGCTAATGCCACCACAGAGGATAAGGCTGTAACTGCCGAGACGCAGCCTGGTCATCAAGAAACATCTATTCCTGAAGACATTGAAACAAAGCAGGCTGTCGAAGTCCAGTCGTCTTTCGCTCCAGCCATCGATGATAATTCTGAGCATCCTGAACACCAGGATGTAGACCATCACGAATCTCACAGGGAATCCCATGAGGATCAGCTGCATAGCAGCAATGAGAATGAATCTTTGCACCCAGTGAAGGTGCTTTACCAGGATAATGAGATCTCTTTTTTCCACCGCTTGAAGGCGACTCGGCAGAGACCTTCTTTTTGCACGACGAGGATGTCGCGTATGACAGTGTCGGCAAATTGTTCAGCTCTCTTCGTGAGGTGCTTCTAGATAATGTTGCGGATGACGAAGTACTTGTTATTGATATTGATTCGCTTGGTATTCAACTAACAGAGGTATGTCCGAACCATGACACTCTAACCCAATCTCTTTCCATGGTTATGCTAATTGTTGTATCTCAGGACTCAACGCACAATTCTAAGATGACCTTGCATCATATTCTGGACATTTACACCCGGCTTAGTCAAAATGATGGCACCAGCGAACCCGGTGCGCTTTACCTCACTCTTGGAAGCAAAATCTCCGCTCATTCCGAGCTGGCTGGTCTTGACTCTGCTGCACATGAAGGCAAAGGCCTATCTCAAATTCATGCATGGGATGTGGACTATGAAGACGCCGGTCACGAAGATATGCCTGTGCATGAAGAAGATTCTTCTGCAGGAGATTCGTTCACCGGCAAACCTCAGACGGAGAAGCCCCTTGAAGTGAACGAAATTGGCCAGAATAAAACCACAGATGAGGCCAATGCCCAAGAATCGGCGGCCCCAGCTGAGGCTCATAATGAATTTGTCCCCAACAATCAGGAGACCGACGCCGGACTTGCAGAAACTGAGCACCATCAAGAACAAGAAGAAAATGCCACAACTGAGGAGACTCGCGATGTAGAGGCGAATGAGTATCACCATGGAGATGAAACAAAAGAGCATGATAGCTTTGAAGACCCAAAGACCGAATCCTCCACTACCATCAGTTTACTGCCAGAATCCACTGCGCAGCTCGCAGATGTCCCTGTGGACGTGAACGAAGCTGCCCCAGAACATGCTGAGCAAGAATACCAAGCCGATGACGACAAGAGTGGGCAAGACTCGAACCACAAAACCTCTACTTTTCAAGGGGCCGATGGGCATGAGCAGGACCAGAACCCTGAAGAGTCCCAAGATGAAGTTTCTTACGAGGAAACGGAGGCGCCAGGAACCGTAGTTGACACCGATGCTATTGATCTCACATCTGCCCACGACGAAGGACTTGTCGACGCACCTAATGTTCGGATCGAAAACCAGGAAGGGCCAGCCGACGAAGGTGAAGACCATGAATCCCTGGGAAAATCCGAGTCAACGGTGGATAATGCACCGCAGGAAGAAGGCGCTGGATTTGAAGAGCACGATCTAGATCCTGAGGACGACTTGCTTGGTATCGCTGAAGACGTGCTGCAGACTACTCAGGGTGATTACGATGATCAGCCTGAGAATTCCGAAGATGATTTGACCACACCCCCGGCGAAGAAGTCGATGGTCGTGAACCCCATACCGGCGAGGACGAAGAGGACGACCTGTATGCGGATTTCGAAACCTCGGAGACCATTGAACTGGGCGAAACAGATCACTCCCTTGCTGACTCCCAACCCCACGATAATACGTCTACCAAACGATCTCGAGAGGATGACGAGTGGGACTTTGCGGACGCCGACCCCGAGCTCAAACGCCGTCGACCTTCGTAAATCACCATGCGTGATCCTTTTTTCCGGCCACGATATCCGCTGTTGTCAAGACCATGTTCTTGCCTCAATAGCCTGTCAATCCCCTCGGTTCTTGCGGGTACCAGTGGCCTAGGGTTTCGGCAATCTCCAACAGTGTAACATCCCATCTACTAATTCTGAACTTCAGCGACGGCTTTGACCCATATGGGCGCGGCTATGTAATGTGTGCTCGGACATGCTCACCAGGTACGTCTTGAAAGCTCTTATTCCTTATCGGTTTTTTTTCTTCTCTCTCCCTCTCTCGGGTCCCAATCTCTTCCCCTCCCTCTTCCCCGTGAGAGATGGAGCCCGAGGAGTGCTCGATACCCCACGAACCCTCGCAAATCCTCCCTGTTTTTACATAAACCCCCACCGTGTTTTTCCTTTTGCTTTTTTGTACGTCGATATGACATGTTCTCTCCCTTTGCACGCGCATGATACCACTACTCCCGGTTCTCTCGAAAAACTTTGCACTTGCTATGGCGTTGAAGATGGAGTTTTATGTTTTCTTCGGTCGGACAGTGTTTCATCTGCATGTCACATAGTTGGCGTCATTCGGGCGGCATAGTGAATTTTCTCTTAGGATAATTAGGTGCATGCAATGAGACAATGTCCTATACTGCATACTGCATAAGCTGTAGTAATACTTGTAATCAATTGGTATGGTTTGCGTGTGGTACCGACTCGGGGTTGATCGACATGGCAGTTATGCACTTGTTCATGGGAAATTAGGCGAGATCCACAGCCTTCAGCTGAGTGGTCATACCATAGCATTCATCGTTAGTCCATTATGTACTTTGTCAAAAGAATCAAGATATGGTTGCCTGCGAGCTAGCGTGGCTACGGCAGCGGCTTTAGTGTTAAGCTTCCGCCGCATCTAATATTCACTACTAATATTTCCTATGTAACCACCTAAGCAAGTCCTACTCCTATCTATTGGGAGGCATTTTGGGAAATCCTCAAATTGAGGGGTTCTTGAACCAGGTCGGCGAGTGCAAGGACCACTATAGACCTCCGCATTGTATACCATAGAGCAGTATTTAATCTGATCGAACTATATCAAGCCATTCAAAAGCATTGGAGGTTGCAGTTTAGTTCCAATGAATGCATTAATGGATGCAAGCGAGATCTCATTAAACTGCGCCTTGGAAGCCCTGTGGAGCCAGCCGGGTATGTATAGAGGAGTGGCCGAATGCGGTTGGTTGAACAAGATCGATATGAAACGACGATCGCCGCCACGGGCTTGGAACTCTCAGGGTCTTTCTCAGCAATGCCCAGAATGCCCAGCAGTAGCCCAGCAGTAGCCCCTGTTCTGGTTCGATCCAGCAGTGGGAGTTTTAGTATTGTTTCACTAGCATAGCATTACCAAATAACAGTATAATAACAGTAACAGTATAATAACAGAATAATACTCGCTGTACTCCGTACTCCGTACTCCTCCTACATATAAATAGTATGTTGTAACTGTGTATCTCCCTTACGCGCGTCCCGATCGGCCGCAGTCTCGAAACGGAACCCCACCGCACGCAGGCACCAAACAACTCTTGACCTCTTGACCTCTCGACCTTTGGATTTCTGGGATCTGGACTCTCATTCGACTCCTCCAACCCTTACTCATCTTTCGTCCTTCAAACCTTCAGAATTATTGGGCTGGCTCATTTTTCTGTTACGCCTCCCCTTGTCGCCTTTGCTCTTGTCCCTGCCTCGGTTCTCCCCCTCGCCCTCGCCCTCGCCCTCGTCCTCAGCCTGGCCGCAATCGCCGCAATCCCTTCGTTACCACCCTCACTCTCGTTCATTTTCCGCCACCACTTCTTCTCCCCCAATTCTTCCATCGCTAGCACTGGGGGTCTTTCGACTGTAGGAGCCCGTCGCTCCTCCATTTTTGCAAAATGCTTCCAGACAAGTGAGCCCGACTCCCTTCTCGCCGCGCTCTAGAGCCACCGAGGCCACATATGCTGACAGGTCTGCGCGTGGCGTCAATAGATATGTTGGGCTAATATTGGCCATCGTATCAACAATGGCAATTGGTGTGTTCGCCGTCGATCTTCGCATCCTTTGGAACGGTCTGCTAACCAGCTTTCGCTAGGTACGAGTTTCGTTGTTACAAAGAAGGTTCGTTTGTCTCGAGCGCAAGTCCCCGACCGAAGAAGCTGCGGCTGAAAGCGATGGTCAATGGTCACAATCGAATCGGTGGCGGACGTGCTAATGGGGTTTAAATAGGGATTGATGCACGCTTCCGAAAGACATGGTTTCGAAGGCGAAGGATTCTCATACTTGAGGAGTCCAATCTGGTGGGTTGGTGTCATCATGCGTACGAAGCCCTCCCCTCCCATCGCATTTGATAGGGAAGCGAAAGTTCACCGGAAATGCTAATATTAATTCCCAGTCGCCATGGGAGAAATCGCCAACTTCGCCGCCTACGCTTTCGCTCCTGCAATTCTAGTAACGCCTTTGGGTGCACTGAGTGTTCTGATCGGGTACGAACGCATCTCTCGCACAAGCAAAGCTCGCAACATCGCTAACAAATCTCAGCGCGGTTCTTGGTTCATACGTCCTCGATGAGCGGTTAGGGACACTGGGTAAATTGGGCTGCGCCATGTGTCTCCTCGGATCCGTCGTTATCGTCCTCCACGCACCTCCCGACACCCCGGTGGATAAGATCGAGCAAATGCTGGCATATGCCCTTCGTCCCGGCTTCCTCATTTACTGCCTGGCTGTCGCGGTCTTTTCCACGGTCATGATCTATCGTGTCGCTCCAAGGCACGGCAAGAAGAACCCGCTCATCTTCATCTCGATCTGCTCCACCGTTGGCTCGGTCTCCGTCATGTCCATTAAGGCCTTCGGTATCGCAGTCAAGCTCACCCTAGGTGGCCACAACCAATTCGGCCGACCGTCAACCTATATCTTCGCCATTGTCACTGGATTCTGCATTCTTACTCAGATGAACTACTTCAACAAAGCGTTGAATGAATTTTCAACCTCCATGTGAGTTGCAAGGCGCAGCCAAATGCTCCTGCTGTTGCTAACCGATGCTTTTCTCCTTTCGCAGCGTCAACCCTCTCTACTATGTCACATTTACGACCGCCACGCTTTGCGCCTCTTTCATTCTGTTCCAAGGATTCAATACCACGGATGCCGTCAACACGATTTCCCTTCTCTGTGGATTCCTCGTCATTTTCACTGGTGTTTACCTCCTCAACCTCTCGCGACACGACCCTGATGGCCACCACCTGGTCAACCCTAAATATGATGAGGACGGAGTGCCTACAGACGGAATTGCGAGCTTCCAGACTCGCCGGTCAATGCAGCTTCGTCGCAGCAGCGAGCCGCACCGTCGAAGCTCCTCCAGCATTTACCTGAATGGACACGGTGATCGCGAGGGGCTCATCCACTCATATGATGTGGATAACCACAGCGCCATCGGCCTGGAGGACCTGGCCGAGGAGAGCGACGGAGAGCCAGGACCGACCTACTCGAGCAACGAAGAGCGGGATCGCACAGCTCAGCACACCAAACAGAACAGCAACGTCTGATTCCGATTTTTAGTCTGCTATATAGCGCCCTCCCTTCCCTCGCCAGGCTCCTACCATGACGCTTTTCCCTCCTCACCTTTACTCTCCCGAGCTACCAGCCCTGCCGGCTTTTCCGCCTCGCTCCCCGGGCAATCTTTGTATTTTTACTGCTTCATCCAAAATACCCGTGGGCTTGCGACTCGAGCACATATCAAGGCACTGGGCATGCCCGTATGAAATGATTGGATATGACACTGGGTTTCCTGAATGGTTTTGTTTTATTTTGTTGATTTTGGTAATGGGCGAGTTGCATCACTTGTATATATTGTGGTTTTTTTTTTTCTTTTTTCCTTCTTCCTTTTCTACACCCATTGAGAAATTTCCTTGCAATCAATAGACTTGAAGCGGGTGGGGCACTTTTCCCCGAACCCGATGATGTATTTGCCGGTCAGCTGTCGTGGAAGATTTCCCATCCGAAAACAAGTTGCGGGCGCGCGTGCATGCCCTACAGTGTCCTTCGCCCCACGCGACGGTGCCAAATGCCAGAAACCGGGCACCATCGACTTTCCCTTCCCCAGATCTCTACTCCGACACGATGCCGGGTCTGTTGCGGAAGCTTGTTGTCGTTGCCGCGGTTGACGGCTTGATCCTACATGGCCATGGCGTCAGCGGTCCTCGGCCCAATAATGGAAGCAACAATGAAGCCTCGTCGATTCGAATCGACTATAAGACGAACAGAATCACGGCCCTGCCAGTCTCAAGCCCGGAAACACTAGAGGGACGCGACACGCTAGAAGTATACGGACTCGTCGGTATGTCGACTTTCAGCCCCCCCATGCTGAATATCCGACACCACCCCAGACCCAATCCTGACCACATTATGAATATCCAACAGGCCTGCTCTCCGTCGCATCACACTCGTTCCTTGTCTCCATCACTCAGCGCCAACAGGTTGCCCAGATCCAGGGCCGTCCGATCTACGCCGTCACCAATGTTGCCGTCATCCCTATATCCTCCCAGGTAGACGCTGCCCGCGCCATTGCTCAAGCCCGGAAGGAAGTGACTCAGGAAGAGCCCGATCTTGACTCGGGCTCTGACGAGGATATACCAGATAATGCGACCGACGGCGCGGAAACGGAGATTGGCAGCGCGCCGACCTCCCCGGCCCGTGAAAGTCTCCATGCGCGGGGCATGAGTGTGGGGAGTATAGCCGAAGATGTGATAGAGAAGCGAGTCCGGTTTGGCCGCTTTGCGGCAAATTGGCTTTCTCGCAAGAATCTCGGTCTTCCACGGCCTGGGTCCCTGGAGAAAGATGATGTTTCAGAGTCGCCATTCGATGACTCGCCCCGCTTATCGAGTGATGGCTCGGAGGCTAATGATGAAGCTACCGAGGCTGCTCCGTTGCCAGAGACATCAGACGCCCAGGGTGAGACCAATCGACCAGGCTCAGATCAGGCGGCCGAACTTTTACCGAAGTTACTTCGATATACGAAACTGTTATTTTCTTCACATAATTTCTTTTTCGCATATGATTATGATCTTACGCGATCTTTTAATGCACAGGAAGCTCGAAGGGGACAGCTGCCTCTCCATAAAATGGTGGACCCATTGGTATGTTCTTGAACGCAAATTTTCCAATAAGTTGCCTTGATCTTGGTCGCTGATCTATAATAGTACTTTTGGAATAAATATCTGATGTCTACGTTTATTGACAACGGCGCACACGGTTTCATACTGCCTTTGTTACAAGGATTTGTTGGCCAGCGAGAGTTCACAGTAGCTGGCTCTGAGAAGACTGCGGACAAACCAGCTGATGGAGGTCTTACTGAAGCCCTAATTCTTGGAGAAAGTCAGGACCCGGAAGCCGTGGAGTCCGAGGCCCCTAAGCGGAACTTTTTATTGACCTTGATTTCTCGACGGTCTGTCAATCGCCCCGGTCTACGCTACCTCCGTCGTGGTGTTGATGATGACGGGAATACTGCCAACACCGTTGAAACGGAGCAAATCCTTTCCGTACCAGAGTGGGACTCTTCTCACAACGCCTACTCATACCTTCAGCTACGGGGTTCGATTCCTCTATACTTTTCCCAATCGCCATATGCCTTCAAGCCCATCCCTGCGTTGCACCACTCAGCGGAAACAAATCAACTCGCCTTTGGACGACACTTCCGAGAGTTGAATCGGAGGTATGGCAAAATCCAGGCCGTCTCCTTGATTGACAAACATGCCGGGGAACTGAAGCTTGGTGAACAATATGAGAGGTATGCAGAAGTCTTCAACGAGGCAGGCGGTATCGATGGCACGCCGTTGCGCATGGAATGGTTCGATTTCCACAACGAATGCCGCGGTATGAAGTTCGAGAATGTCTCACGTCTGGTTGAGCGTGTCAAGGAAACCCTGAGTGAATTCGGGTATACCACTATCAAAGATGGTAAACCTTCGGATATACAGACAGGCATTGTTCGTACGAATTGTATGGACTGTCTCGACCGCACCGGAGTCGCACAATGTGCTTTCGGCCAGTGGGCTTTGGAGCGCCAGCTACAGAAAGAAGGCATTCACATTGACTTGGGCGGAGACTCGTCCACGCAATGGTTCAACACCCTTTGGGCGGACAATGGAGATGCAATCTCGAAGCAATATTCGTCCACGGCTGCTCTCAAGGGAGATTATACCCGAACCAGAAAGCGAGACTACCGCGGAGCTCTCAATGATCTCGGCCTAACACTCTCCCGATATTACAATAATATTGTCAACGACTATTTCTCCCAGGCCTGTATCGACTACCTCCTTGGGAACGTCTCAACACACGTCTTCGATGAATTTGCAATCGAACTCCAGACAACTGACCCAGGAATTTCAGTCGGCAAGATCCGCCAAAATGCCATCGACACCAGTTGCAAAATTGTCATCAGCAGTCCGTCGGAAGAACTCCTCGGTGGCTGGGCTATGCTGACACCCCGCGAACCGAACACCCTACGGACTCTCCCCTTCGAAGAGTCCGTCCTGCTACTCACCGACGCCGCCGTGTACAGCTGTCGCTTCGACTGGGAAACGGACAAGGTACTCTCCTTTGAGAGAATTGATCTCCGCTCCATCTCGCGCATTCACTACGGTACATATATCACTTCCATCCTCACAGACGGCCAATCCGACGAACGAAGCAATGTCGGCCTAGTCATCGCCTACCGTGACGGTGACGAAAATGCCCTCCGCGTCAACACGCGCACTCTTCAGACGAATGTGCGGCCCGAGAATCTGGAGGCCATGGCGAGCTCGAATAGCGAGTGGGATCTTGTTTCGTGGCTGCGTGGCACCAAGCGTGCTACCACGCGCTTTGTGGCTTTCAAGTCGCTTCCTGTCGCTAACGCGATGGCCAGTCCGCGCCTTGGCCCGAGTGGAGGTGTAGGGAGTGTGAGGGAACTGGATCGAGTGCGGACAATCTGTCATGATATTGAACGGGCTATGACCGCAGGCGATGGGCAGAGTGTCGATTCTGTCTCTGTGGTTGAGAAGGTGGATATTATTTCGTTGGCGGATGCGAAGAAGCGGACGGGTATCTTGGAGACGCTTGTTTATGATTTTAAGAAGCTGGTTTGGGCCTAGATTATGGACTGTGTAGATGATGCATTTGCCTTTGTTAGTACATGATGAGATATGCTGTTGCAGCCTGAGTCCATGGATATGCCAGTACCCAGTATGAGGTACCTCGTACTAGCTTACTGGGAGATGAATCGAATACCCCTGGCACTTAGGTACTAGTACCTACCTAGGAACCTATTCGTTGCCACAGGTGGATTCCAAGCTCAATAGTAGGGTTCCAAAGTTGAATCCATCCATGGATGGATAGTACCTAGGTATGTAGTACTACTGCATGTCCGCTTGTACTAGTGCTATATAAATTAACCACACCTGGGCATACTACTACTAGTACTATTACATAGATAGTGAGGTGAGGTGAACTTGATATTGCTGGATCACAAGTGACACCGGGGAATCACCGCCGACTTTCACTAGCAGTGTCTACTAGCAGTCTACTCGTAACTACTACTAGTATGCTATCTAAGATATATCATATACTACTAGCGTCCACGATGTTCCTCTGCTCGCCTGCCCGCCTGACCCACACCGCCTTTTGTTTTCACCGGCAGAAAAAAACCCCTCTCACTCTACGCTGGTGGCTTGCGACGCTTTACCTTTTACTAGAACTTTTCCTCTTTTTTTTATTTGTCAAGTTTTCCCTTTTTGAAAAAGCCCGAATTCCCTCGAATATTGTCCGACTCTAGATTTATCTCTGGTGGTGTCGTCAACTCAGTGAATCTCATCTGCTCTGCTCTATCCGTGGGGAACAACGGGCCCGCACATTCTTGGCGGGGCCTCTCCTCCTTCCTGTGCCACACGCACTTTTGCTTCTACGCAGTTGTTCACCTCAACCCACTCCAACATGGATTGGCAACCCCAAGATGAGCCATTGAGGCAGTTAGCCTCCTGTCTCAAAGACTCGCTCAATGGCCAAGATCAGTCCATCCGCAAACAGGCTGAAGAGGTATCGCAATTCTCTTTTTCGTTTCTTTTCTTTTCTCAACGCTCGGCCACTACGCATAATTCCCCTCTCTCGCCCCCCCTCTTGCAAGAAATATCGCGAGCCAAATAAACGTGAATGACTGACCATGACCTATCTGATTTTCCAAAATAGATGCTCTCGCAAGCAACTTCTTCTCCCGACTATGTCAACTACATCACCTATCTCTTTTCCACCCCGCAGGTACCTGCCGCCGTGGGCATGGATGTTGGCACTTACGCCATGGTGCGCTTCGCCGCCGCCATGAACATGAAGACCAAACTCCTCATGGCCTTCCGTACCGTTCCTCCCCAGAGCTTGAACTTCATTCGTTCCGCCGCCCTACTCGCCCTGCAGGACGCCGACCGCCAAGTACAACGAGGTGCTGGTAGCATCATCACCGAGGTGGTTCAACAGGGTGGTCTCCTGGCCTGGCCTGAGGTCCTCCATGAGCTGATCGCCCTGGTTGGAAATGCCAGTGGCGACGTTTCACTACCCTCGCAGGAAGCCGCAATGGCAGCTCTGTTTAAAGTCTGCGAGGACAACCGCAAGATTTTGGACCGCGAATATCACGGCCAGCGGCCTCTCGACGTCATCATTCCCAAGTTGCTGGAGTTCACCTCTCGTCCGAGCGCGCGCGTGCGATCCCTCGCCCTGAACAGTATCCATGTCTTCCTCCCGCACCAGCCCCAAGCCCTCATGGGTTCCTTGGACCTTTTCCTGTCGCAGCTGTTCAATCTCTCCGGCGACCAGGATCCCGAAGTGCGGAAGATGGTCTGCCAGTCATTCTCTCAATTGGTGGAGTTTGCGCCAGAGAAGCTGGTCCCGCATATGGAGGGGCTGGTCAACTACATCCTGATTCAGCAACAGAACCAAGAGGATCCCGAACTGTCCCTTGACGCTGCGGAGTTCTGGATCGTTGCTGGCGAGCAGCAGCGACTCCAACAGCCGCTTGCGCCTTTCATGCCGAAAATCATTCCGGTTCTGCTGCAGAACATGATCTATGAAGAAGACGATGTGATTCGCCTGATGCAGGAAAATGATGACGCCGAGGCCGAGGACCGTGCCGAGGATTTGAAGCCTCAGTTTGCTAAGGCCAAGAGCGATAAATTGAATCCCGCAAAGCAAGGTCAGCAAGCTAATGGTGCGGCCCCTCAGCAGGAGGAGGATGAAGACGACCTCAGCGAGGGAGAGATTGAAGACTCTGAATTTGGTGATGACCCCGAGGACGAGTGGACCCTGCGGAAGTGCTCCGCTGCCGCGCTCGACGTTTTTTCCAATGTGTACCATGACCCTATCTTTGAGATCATTCTACCTTATTTGAAGGAGACCCTGCGCCATTCCCAGTGGCCTAACCGCGAGGCTGCAGTTCTCACCCTTGGTGCCGTCGCTGATGGCTGCATGGATGCTGTTACACCCCACCTGCCTGAACTGGTGCCCTACCTGATCTCTTTGCTTACGGACGCCCAGCCCGTCGTGCGTCAGATTACTTGTTGGTGCCTTGGACGTTACTCTGAATGGGCTTCGCACCTGAGCGACCATAGCCAAAGGGCGCAGTTTTTCGAGCCGATGATGGAAGGTATCCTCCACCGCATGCTTGATAACAACAAGAAGGTGCAGGAGGCTGCCGCATCGGCGTTTGCGAGCCTGGAAGAGAAGTCAGAAGATGGCCTGATCCCATACTGCGAACCTATTCTCCGCCAATTTGTCCAATGCTTCGCCAAATACAAGGACCGCAACATGTACATCCTCTATGACTGCGTACAGACCCTTGCAGACTGTGTCGTGTCTGAGCTTGCCCGGCCTCATCTTGTCGAAATTCTCATGCCTGCCCTGATCGGGCGATACAACCAGATAACTGATCAATCGCGAGAGCTGTTCCCGTTACTGGAATGTCTTGGCTACGTCGCCAATGCTTATGGAGACGCATTCTCGCCATTTGCTGCTCCTCTCTTCCAGCGTTGCTCCAAGATCATCTATCAAAACCTCGAGGAGTCTATCGCATCAGTAAACAATGAAACTGTCGACGAGCCCGACAAAGACTTTCTGGTTACTAGCCTGGATCTTCTGAGTGGTATCATCCAAGCTATTGATCCGCAAAAGAGCAGCGAGCTTGTGGCCCACTCGCAACCGCAATTCTTTGACCTGCTCTGCTACTGTATGCAAGACCCGAACTATGAGGTCCGTCAATCCTCATACGCCTTGTTGGGTGACTGCGCCATAAATATCTTTTCTCACCTCGAGCCCTTCATCCCGACCATTATGCCTATCCTTATCAAGCAGCTCGACCTGGATCAAATTCCTGACGATGACCGCCACACAGGTTTCAGCGTGCTGAACAACGCTTGTTGGTCGGCTGGTGAAATCGCCGTCAACGAGAAGGTGGCCCTTGCCCCCCTATGTTGAGAAAGTGTATCACGGACTCTTGGCAATCATCGACAACGAGGAGATCATTGACTCCGTTAATGAGAACGCAGCCATGGCTCTTGGCCGTCTTGGTCTCTGCTGCGCCGACAACATGGCGCCACATCTAGGCGAGTACGCCAATTCTTTCCTGAAGTCGATGAGCAAGATTGAATTCACTCCTGAGAAAGCTTCTGCCTTCCTGGGCTTCAACACCGTGGTCATGAAGAATCCTCAGGCGATGGAGTCTAGTCTGGTCGACTACTTCCAGGCCATCGCCTCGTTCCCGAGCAAGTTGCTGTCGCTGGAGGAACACCGGGATATTCAGAGCTCCTTCCAGCAGGTATGTATTAATTCGAGTCAAGTCACCATACACAGAAACGGCCTTTTTATCGCTAACTCATCAAACAGGTTCTGCAGGGATATAAAAACATGATACCCAACTTCGATTCTTTCCTATCGCAACTTCCTCCGCCCGTGTCTCAAAAACTGCGCACCGTTTACCAGGTTTAAGTTGAGACGGGCATCTTTTCAAACTATTCTCGCATCGAATCTTCTCACTTCCTCGCCATATGAAAACTGCGTGCCACGGCAGTATTGGCAGCTGGAACACACCATACAATCACACAAACAAACATCTGAAACTCTGGAGGAAATCTTACTTCCCTCCTGTCACAAACCTTTCCTCTGCACCTGAAGTTCAGCGTTTTCCATTTTCCATGTCTTTACCTTCTGGGCTTGCATTATCATCCATCTGACCTAGAAATAGGAGGACACAATGAATGGATTAAAAGGCTAAAAATTAGGTTAATATCAATGCGAGATAATGAGCTCTCATCTGGGCGTTTTATTTTTTGTTCCTTTTCCCCTTTCTGCTTTGTTTGCTCAATTTTCTGTTTCTTTTCTTTCTTTCTTTTTTTTGCATATTCCTTATCTATGCCTCTTGGGGCATGACCCGAAGGGGATTAAGGGAAATGACCGCGAGGACTTGACGCGATATGACTGTTAATCTATGTTATATCTGACGACTGCAATGGGCACGGCCATGTGACATGATTATATTCTTCTGTTCTCGCATGCCCTTGTACATGTCCATTTCTATGCCCGCCAGACCGGATATGTTGATTCTCCCATCAAATATCCGCTTCCATTATTTACCAGTACCCAAACACCATCTCTTTACCTTAGATAGATAGATTAGATACCTAGGTAGATTCTCCTACATGCATACTATGTTCAAAATGACTCCATATCAAATGTACGGAGTATATACTATGTCATTGGATATGCAGGGACTACTATCCTTTGTTTGGAAATTCCAATGTCGCCTGCCTCCGCCCTTTACTAGTAGATTTGAGTTTAGGAACTTGAAGGTCCTCGGGATATTTTTGGCATTTTCCACCTTCCACCATCCACCCTCCTCCAACGCATTAAGTCGGTACGAGTACGGAGTACAGAGGAACGTACCCTTGCGACATTACAGAGGTATCTGTGCAGCACCCACCCCACCCTCTAACCTCGCTTATTTGACGCCTCGGGCGTGCCCGAGCTTACATAGGTATACGGCGCGAATAGCGATTGGCCCGGGCGTCCAAGACCAAGACGCGAGCCTTTCCCGATCGCGTTTCTTTTCACGAAACTTGAAGGGGGCAGGGACTCATTCGCCCCGCGCTACTCATTTGATCCTTGCCTTTTTTTCCTTCCCCAATTTTTAAGGACCTTCCCGTGGTGGGCGTGGGCGTGGGTAAGCCAGTGCCACTGCCAATATCTAAGACATTCCATAGCTTGGGGCTTAGGTGCACCCTGGGCACAGTCCCTCGCGAAATGCATCTCTTTTTTATTAGCGGGAGTTTTGCAGATCGCATGTTCGGACGTTTGAGGTTATTGCAGGTAGAATACTCGATGCCCTGCCACTATGTACTAACTCCCTCCGCTCGATGGGTCAAGCTATCCCCCATACGGATGCATTCCACGAGCTGCGATCTTCGTTTCCTCTCTATTCGGGAATAATACCTTTCGGGTATAGATAATCCAGGCTTTAATTTCTTCGAAATTTGCTTTTTGGGGGGGGGGGGATCCTTCAAAGTGGCGAGCTTTGGGGATTTTGTTCAGGAGGCTTTGCCTTTACCGGCCTTGCTGTTTTGGCTTGGTGGACCCTGTGCCATCAACCCTAGACCATCGTTTCATTTTCAGCCTCAGCTGCGGTGTGACATGCACTTCCCCATGCACTGCCCGTTTGACATCGTCTAACCTCATTCTGTCCAGAGGGGCAGTCGACATGCTCCTTACCTCGAGTGTGACGATTCTGCGTCTACTTGGCATTGCATCGATCAAGCCTACCGTTATGGAAGCTGTCTCCGGTTACCAGATTTGGAATGAGAAAGGAAACGAAAAGAGAGAAGAAAAAAGCATTTACAATAAACTTCACTTTCTATTTTTACTTCCAAGGTTCTCCTCTTCCCTTGCGCCGATTCGCACTCTCGCACTTCTCGCACTTCTCGCATTTCTCGCATTCCTCGGCTTCTCCAACATGCATGCACCTTAGAAACAGTCCATGTAGCGCAGATGCCCATCCTCATTCTTGATACAGGCCGCCAAGTTGACCGTGTCCTCATTATGCATGCCCCCTTCATCTTCCAGCTGCGCGTGCAGCATGGGCTCGTGGTTGGGGCCATCCCACTTGAGAATGACATCGGCCGCATCCTCGGTGAAGTTCTCAGCACTCCAAGCGAATTTACCTGCGGAGCCTCGTTAGTCTTGGCTTCGCTAAAAGCTTTCTCGGCGGAACGTTTGGATGTAGATGTAGATGCAGATGTCAGTAGGTTTGGGGGCGGTTTGCTCGCGCCCCCCCCCCTCTTCCTCCATCGGGACTCCTCTTAATTTGGAAGTGCATGTGCAAGGGACCTGTGATGACCTCGGGTGAACGTACCCTTTCTCGCGCCCAGGACGTTATTCAGGTCGAGCTCTGAATAAGTTGCTTCGCCCGAGGGCCGTTGGCAGTATGCACAGAGGATGTGCCCATCTTTCAGGTGTACGTCCATCGATGATTTATGGAACATTGCGGCGTGTAAGCTAGGCAGATGGGATGTGGCTTGGAAAATGAGATAAAGGAATAATTGTAATCAAAATGGGACTGATGATAAGAGGATACTTCTAAGAGCAGATGAGTTGACAGCGGGTAACGCTCGAACACCGTCGGAATCGAGATGCAACCCCGAATCTAGGATGAGATGGAAGAAAGAAAGAAACAGAGCCCAAGCCTAAGCCGCTGCTGGCCACGGTTGATAGGTAACTAGGATGTGGCATAGAGCTTGCCCCATGACATCGCTATGCTGTCGGCGGTTTCGGTTTTGGTAGCTGCTGCTGCTAGTCATGCATTGCCCCGGAACAAAGGACGCGGGAGGCGCTGGCTGTGCATCACGCTGGCCTCATGATGATGCCAGGGATTTCTGACCGGGCTGGAGGGGATGGGGTTTCCCTTCCACCAACAGAGACCGGATAGCCTGGGCAGAGAGAAGTGGTTGGCCCTAGTGCCAAGGTCATCATGACTTCATGCAGGGTGAGATGGCAGGCGTACGAGTACGGAGTACGGATGGGAGAGAGAGAGAAATGGTAAAGCAGGCCCAGAGAGGCGGGAAATTCAGCCTCACAGCAGTTCTTCAATGCAGGCGTAGCGGGCTAATTAGACGAGGGTGGAAGGGCAGCCATTTGGTGGGCAACAAACTGCAAGAGGTGGCTAAAGAAGGTTGACGCTAATACTTTATTTAGTAGCGCGGGAGGGCTGTCAATCGAGATATTCTCCAAGGTTTCGATCTGTGCATTTTCTCTTCAGGTCTGCCTTATTGTAATACTTTGATAGTACCCAGGCAACCAGTTCTTACTTTGTAACCTAGACAGTAGGTATAGCCGGAGCGGCGCCCCCCCTTTGATCTTGGTAACCCATTTTGGCACTGCGATCCTCACCCGTCTTTGGATCATTTCCAATGGGTTCGCACACCAAGCTAGGGTCATTTTAGTTAGTCGGGATCGTCAGAACCAGCCTCAATATAACCATAAACCATACCCGGCCGAACGGTCCATTGATATGGGGGGTGATCTCGACCTGATCGACGTGGACTCAACAACCTCCGAAGAAGGCATGCTGGTTGTTCGTCTAGAATGGCCTCATCTTGGCATTATAAAGTTGGTTAGCGTGGCTGCTGGCCCGTGGGCCGTGCTTTTGCTCGATGCGGCCACGAGTCTGCAGCGTGGTTGGGTGTTGGATTGGGTCGAGAAGGGGGGGTCTGGGGTAATCTTTGATTGTATAAAAGTTGTCTGGGGATTGAATGGTGAGTGGGTGTACCTTGATGTACCGCGACTTGGATACATCGAGAGTCTCCTCCTCTTTTCGACCGGGCTATCCAGGGTTTACCTTTGGCGTCAGCAATACCCAGCCAGATGGTCATGGTGTGCCGGCATAGGGAGTGGTGCTGGCGCGCTATCCCGGGGAAAACACACATTGCTTCCTGCCCCTCCCCCCCCCTCCCCCCTCCCCCCTGATCTAGTCGAAATGAAGGAGTGGGGTGCGCAAAATGGTTCCTATTTCTTTTTATTTTCCCTTCCTTTCAGTGGGGAGAAGAAGAAGAAAATCTCCGTTCCGCACGGCATGCGAATAGAGTTGGGCTGTCACTTCCTCCCGTCACTTGTGGCCCCCAAAAAGGGCCCCAAAAGGGGAATCCAATCAGTTTCAGTAGGGTCTCATTGGTCGAATCGGCTCTGTTGGACCCAATTGACCATCTTACTCTGGTTTAGTGCTGATCCCTTTATGCTGCAGTGAGCGCTAACCCTGTTTGGTGCCATGTCGCGAGTACCGAAGCCTCACCGCGATGACGACCCACTGGCCTTAGCTAACCTCTCGCACAGGCTGATCAGGTCTCCATCAGACTAAACCGTCTTGAGAACCGCTGGTAGTTACCAGAATCATTGTCTTGGCCTGTCAATGTTGCGGAGAAGCGAACTCGTCCGTCGCACAGCCCATGGTTCACCCTTTTCTCCCGATAGGATTCTCCGCTTTTTTGCCATTAAGGGCAGCAAGCGTATTCGGCTGGTTCTTGGCCACTGCTTGTATTCTGCTGGTTCCCTTGGCTAGCTCTGCTTAAGGGGGTTGGGTGAGATCTTGAGAGAAGATCGTCACACAGATGACTCTGTGAACCTTGGGCTTGTACCACCGTGAGATCGTGGAGCCACGTGTGGGCTGGTGAACTCTCGTTAACTCTGATTAACTCTGCTCTATTCTGTGTTGCTGCTGCTGCTACAACTCTGTACTGCTGTACTCCGTACAAGTTTTCTCTGGCGATGTACATATTCAATTCTCGCCTGCAGCTGCAGGCCACACCGACTATGATATTGCACCCCAGAAAACGTGGTCGTTAGGGCTTGAACTGGCGGTCACACAGCCACTGAAATCTTGACAATCGATCCGATTGTCAGGACCAGCGAGCTAGATTTCCCTCGCCCCGCGAAGTTCCTCCAGG